TCGGCTCAGGTCATGATCCTGGAGTCCTGGGATCGAGTCCCGCATCGGGCTCCCTGCTCAGCGAGGAGCCTGCTTCTCCCTCTGACCCTCCCCCCTCTCATGTACTCTCTCTATCTCTCTCATTCTCACTCTCTCAAAATAAATAAATAAATCTTTAAAAAAAAAAAATACAAGATCTAAAGATAATAAAGTAATATATCTTAAGGCAATCATATGGATTTTACTGACCATTATTGCTGAAAACCTAAAGTTTTCTGTGTGATAAAATGTTTTCATTAGAAAACTATTTAAACCATTACAGATTTAATTTTTCAATTCAAATTAGCTATATAGCATTGTGTATTTACATCATAGAAATGCATATATCTTATTCAGGCATAGAAAAAAGTAATAGTCAAGTTTTTATTATGTATAAAGAAAAAACACTAACTATGATTTTTAAAGAGATCAGTAAATCATAAAAGATTTATGTATTTTCATTGTAAAAATAAACCACTTATGATATAACACAATTTAAAAATAGGAAAATATGGCGCTCAATTTTTTATGTACTCTTGTGACTGTGATAAAATTAAACAGTCTGCTTCTCCAACAACGATCACGGGGCAATCCCCAGGAGAGGTGGTTTTCAGACTGCGCACCGGGATGCTTGCAAAAGAGCATTACTGGTGTGTGACGGACATGCTTGTCCTGAGCTCAAGAGAACTTCAGAATGATCTATTTTATGTTTTACTGGAAATAGGGCATTTGGGTCAGTTAGGATTTGTGTTACATGAGCGTTCCTGGGTAGCAGCTCCCATATGGCTGCGGTTGGTCAGAACACTTTGATGTATGTTGTGTAACTGCACAAAAATTTAAGAGAAGTTTAGAAAAACAAGCTATTAGAACACAGTGTAAGCGTCTGGAACCTTACACTCCTTCCCTTCGCTCCCACCATATACCATTCAGAAGTGTATTTTCAGGAAGTAAAACCAGTTATTTTCCCAGTAAAAAACCTCAGGACTATTTTTCCTAATACAACACCTCTCATCCAAGAGCACACCACAATGATCCCCAAAATATCACAGTCATCACTGGAAGGCCACATCAATTTGAAGTAGATCGGGCTACTATTTGGTCATTACATACACTGCTACTTAATGGAGAAGAAATTGTAAGCAGTTTCCTAAAGCAAATGCACGAAAACCCGTGACAAGAGGTTTTGTGAGAGGGACCTATGGAGTGGCCACCGTGTCACCCGAGGAGGGAAGGCTGTCCCGTCACCACAGTGGCTTTGCACCGGCTGCTGACAATGCTGTCGACACTGTGTGTCTGGAGAGAAGCTGCCCAGGAATCTGTTAGGGGCTCCTGAAATGCAGAGACACTGTCCCAGAGACCCACACATCCTTCAGGAAGGGGACACTTCCTCCAGCTGACACCACACTCTGAAAACAGGCTACGTCATAAGCCTCTGCCCATGCCCACTGGGACTGCTGTGGCCCCAAGCCTCTCCTGCATCAGCCAGAGCCAGGGTCCGGGCAGGTGACGGAACCACGGCAGATACTGAGCAGACGGAGCGCCGGCTACGGCCCATCCCGTGAAGCCACCTGCCGCTGAAGGAGCAGCCGTGCACTAGGGCAGCAGCTATGGACACACCGCCCCCTGTGGGGCCAGGATCCATGCAAGCTGGTGCTGCTGCTCAGGAGCACACCCCTTCTTCCCTTGCCAGCCTGTCACTCCCCCGGGGGTGGGGGGCTCATAAAGCACCACACGTTTGCAGAGCACCAGTGTCCTCCCCAAGGGTGGCCTTCCAGCCGGAACCACATGGCGCACTCTCGTTATTTCCATGTCTGTGCACCTCCCTCACGCACACCCACGCAAGCACCAGTGAAGTCACTCACCTTCCTGCTCAGCCTTCATGACGGCTGCCCTGTACCTGGAATAAAGCCCGGATGGTGCTGAGACTACAACCCCTACCTGGGGTTTCACCACATGGGCCTGAACGCTGCTTTCCCAAGGCACACCTGGCTTCCCTCCAGTACCTCATGGACCTGCGGCCCAGCTCACCTCCTCAGAGAGGGTCCCCCAGAGGAGCCTTGGCACAGGGTATGTGATGCTGTGTGAACCCACTTCTTTCCGTAGAAGGGTACCGATTCACTCCTGCACACACGTACCCCAGGGCTCACAACCGCGCCAGGTGCAGACTCGCTGACAGATACATTTAGATGAATTCGTTACTAGGTTGATCATATGCAGGCACACATGGATAAACACATGCTCACACACCAACATATACATGTGTGTGCCCGCATGTCATCATCTGGTCCAGGCCACAAGAGTGGTGAGGACAAAGGGGCAGGCACCGGGATGCTCGGTCTCAGCCATCCCCCAAGACCTTGCCCTGGTGAAGTGTTGCAGACGTGGCGTGACAGGATCACAATTCTGCTCATTAGGCTCGTTATCAGGAAGCCCCAAGCCTGGACACAGAGATGCAGCACGGAGGCCCAGACCACAGCACCCCACTGGGGTTTGGACCGGGAGCTCTGTGGCCAGATGCACAATCGCTGCTGACGCATCTCAGGGAACTGGCGCTGCGTGTCTCGGCTTCCACATCCATGCATTAGGGCTCTATGAGGACAGAGTTCATGCACGCTCAGCACATCATGTCCGGCATGTGGGAGCACGCAGCACACGTGAGCTATGGCATGTGCACCTGTAAGAGCGTGACGGCAAACATTGGGGGATGCCTCCTCCTGTCCTGGTGAGTGCCCCCCAGGAGCTAAACATCGCCAGAGCTCGATGAATCCCACAGAAGCCATCTATGGCACAAGAAAAGGGCCTGGGCCCAGCAACCCAGGTTCCCTCACAAGCCCAGCCTGGGACCTAAGTCCACAGAGGGGTGAGACAGGAGAGCCCCAAGGGCCTGCAGGCCAAGTCTGATTCTATCCCAAGAGTTACTGGGAACCTCGAGGGATTTCAAGGAAGACACCGAGATGGTCACTTGTATTTAGCAGTGGGAGTATGACCAGGTTGAGGAAGAGCCTTGTGGAGACAGAGGGTTGGGGTGGTGGCAAGGGCAGAAGGATGGACAGACAGACAGCACAGGGGATGCTGACCAGGCAGTGCTGGGCACACTCGTGGTGCTCATGCCGTGGGTTTACATATGGGAGTCAGGCTGTGAGGACACATGGAGCACGGGAACCACCTGGCTCTTAGCCCAAACTCACTAACTGCATGGGCTAAGGCAACCTGTCTGTTTTATGTATCTTCACAACCCTCCTAAAATTAAGTTCTGTCTGATAACATGTGACAAGGTAGAGTCCCCGTCAAATGCAGCCTTCTCCGGTCTTCCCAGGACACAATGAATGTCCTCATTACCGTGGCCACACTCATCTCATGCGACAGCACTCGCCACAGTCAGCTTTGCGTAAATATGACCCACGTCCACACCTACCACCTTCGGTGTTACAATTTCTTTGAAAGCAATTTCTTACTTCAGCTTCTGATCTTCTACTGCAAGTAGCAAATTCTTGAGCATTTATCCTTAACACTCACAGGAACAAAGGGATTGTGTGAAATTAGGTGCACCAGAGAAGAGAGACTTTTTAAGGCAATGCCCACCAACCTTCATAAATTTATATTTAAAGAAATAGGAAGAATAGTTGTCATTTAATGAACTGAGAATATGTTAAGAGATTTACCTGCATTATCTTATTTAATCTCTGCAACAGAGAAAAGTTAATGAATGCGAAAGGTTTAAAAGTCTTCTACCATGAAATGGGAACAGAGGGCTGGCAATAACAAAATCCCAAGATGTCAGACAAAACAGCATCACATCATTTTTCAAAATGAAATAACTTCTTTTGAAAATATGAGAAAATTGTTTAGTTCAAAAGAATTATCTTTACCGTTATTTTAAAACTAGGGTTTTATTTTTTATAAGTAAAAGCATTTAAAACTCCAAAACTGTATTTTGTATTTCCAATTTAACCAGCTGAAACAATTTAAAACAAATATGGAACCAAATGGAAAAAACAAATATCAGACTGAGATTTTCAGATTTTCATACCAAGTTTCATCTAGATGAAGTTTTCATGGCTCTGTGATAAATCCGAGAAAGAAATAAAGAACAGAACAAGTAAAAGAAAAAGAAAATAGGGATTTATAATGGAAATGTTGACAAACCACTTTCCATACACAAAAAATGATGATGGTGATGGTGGTGAGGGTGGTGATCATGGTGGTGATGATGATGATGGTGGGGATGATGGTGGTGATCATGGTGATCATGGTGGTGATGATGATGATGGTAGGGATGATGGTGATGATGATGGTGATCATGGTGGTGATGATAATGTTGGTGATGGTGGTGATGGTGATGATGGTGGGGGTGGAGCCTGCCTAGGATTCTCTCTCCCTCTGCCCCTCCCTTCCTCTAAAAAAAACCCAGAAAACAAAGAACAATGATTCCCTTGAAATCATAATGCAGATTTCAGAAGACATTATAAAGTCACTCCAAATATATCAAAAATCAAAATTGTAGTTGCAGTCTTAAAAACAGAAGCTTTGGTCACAAATGTCTTAGATGCCTTTTGGCTTGCAAATTGTCTTTTAAACGAAACTATGAGACAATGAATTCGTCAAAACAGCACCTCCTCTAATCTCGAGTCTGTAACCCTCAGCTGTGGGTAGTTTTAAAGTACTACTCTGTCAAAACAGAGTAGGTACTGGGCGCCTAGGTGGCTCAGTTGGCTAAGCGACTGCCTTCGGCTCAGGTCATGATCCTGGAGTCCCGGGATCGAGTCCCACATCGGGCTCCCTGCTCAGCGGGGAGTCTGCTTCTCCCTCTGACCCTCTTCCCTCTCGTGCTCTCTATCTCTCATTCTCTCTCTCTCAAATAAATAAATAAAATCTTTAAAAAAATTAAAAAAAAAAAAAACAGAGTAGGTACATCTTAAAAAGAAAAACTATTGATTTCTGAAGGCTGCTTCACATTCCAGGAGGATCTACATGACTCACTCAATCCTTTAGTATCTGAAACACCCAAACCCTTCATCAAGTTTTAAGTGTGAATGCATTACTAGTAAAGTTGAAAAATAGGCCCATAAAACAATCAAAGATCAAAGTACGAAAATTAACATTCCATATGATATTAAACTATCTTCTAAGGTTAAACATCAAGGCTTAGAAAACTGATGACTAAAAATTAACATTGAATTTGGTAGCACTGGTACAAACTTGCATCAGACATTTGTACGAGTCAAATGCTTAGACATACAATTTTACAAATGATATGTGCTGTCAACAGCTCACTCACTTTATTCTGGCAGATTTGGTGAACAGGCCGTGAATGGGCTTCTGTGATTGTGGCTGCGCTGCAACCTGCATTGAGGTCGAAAACTTCCAGAGTCCTGTTCCGGCCGGCCGTGAGCACAAGATCTGCATGACTCAGTTAGGGAACTCCTCTCAACGATCCGTCACCGGGAATGAGCAGCCCCATGTATTCTGTTAGTACTTTTGGGACGCACCAGAAGACACACAGGATGACTGTGGCTTCGACGGCTGAAGCTCCACAGAAGCTGTGCTCACAGCCCCGCTTCCCCCTCTGGTCCTGGGCATCTGGCAGGAGCTGCTGGGCCACGGACAAGGGCAGACCCAGGTGCTACACATCCCCAGGCGGGAGGCCCAGAGGTCTAACTTCAATGAAATGAAGTTCGAGGTGTCCAGGAAATGCCCAAATCAAGAGATGGAATGGCAGCTGAATCTATGGGTACTGAGCTCAGAAGACAGGTCTGAAGGTAAAATTAGGCAATGCAACCATAAACGGGGACAGTGCCGCCCAGAGCTGGCTGCACGAGAGCACACAACTCCCAGCATGGCATACCACTGGCTGAACATCGCTAACTTCTACACTTGGGGCAAGAGCGGCAGTTGATGAACTTAGGGTTTGTGTGACCACCAGAACTATCCAACCTCCCATGTTCAGCCCAGAACACTGTCATCAACAGAATGGTAATAAAAATAATATGGTAGAAAGATCACCAGATTTGATAATAAACCCAGTGCTAACACTGAAATATGCAGAAACCACCATTCAAGGCCAGACTACTCAGAAGGACACATTTCTGCTACAGGTGTTGTGTGGTGTGTGTAGCAAAAGGGTCTAGCATAAAAATATCACATTTCTAATTAAAATACACTAGAACCTCTAATACCTTCTATCAGTCCTTCTGAAATTTCAACTATAAAACTCTTCAAAAGAACATAACTTAGACCTCTGAATAACTTAAAATTTTATAAGATGAATTCCTAAAAATCAGAGCTTTTCTTCTAAATAAATCAAAATCGATGCTTTTAATTAAAAGGGATGATGCTAGCCAAAAAAAGTCAAAAAATAAACTTTAGACTCAATTTCATCTTCAGCATTACTGCTATAACTTCTGCCATCCTCCACAGAGCTGGGGCAAACTTCCATTCATGGAAGGATACCACCCCCCATAAGTGTAGCAGTTCATTTTTAAAAAAAAAGTACTAAATTACTACATATTATACAGTAAACTACAGACCAGAAATACGGGGTTAGATGCTCTGCTGTATGTATGTCATATGCTCTGTTGCATCCACGTCTAGTTTTCCTTTGAAGCTCTTTTCACTACTGAGATGAAATCCCTACACATATAATTATGCAGAAGATGTGAGCTCCCTGAGTCCCGGTGCTCAGCACGGCGCCTGCAGCCTGGGCCCGCGGCAGACGCTCTTGCCGGGAGGCGGATGCTCAGGATGTGAAAACCCAGAGCAGAGGCAAGGATACAGGAATAGAAGTCGTTTACAGCTGATAAACTGGTAACCTCTGTCATACCAGTCATAGGAAGCCTGAAGACACATTTGCACCTACTCTTCCGTTTATATCTGAAAGAAAAATAAAGACAATTGATCTTTCTGTTTCTCTCCCACAGTTAACCATTCTACCATTAAAAAGCTGAATATGAAGAAAGTTTTCATATTACTGAATAATTATATTTTATAACATCAAAGGAATAAGTCAGCTACCTTAATTTTCCTTTAGGAAACTCTAAATTTTCCTTTAAGAAAACTTCACGAAAAAATATCATATAAATCCCCAAATAATTCATTCTCGTCTGTGAGAAAGTAAATTTTTCTCCTAATTCTAAAATAATTACATATACTTAAGAAGACTTCCAACCGGTTATAAATTATCTATATTTCCATTAACACAAACGTTGTTAATATTTTCTAAAGGGTAACAAAAGCAGTTAGTATTGGTTTAATAAACGTACGACCTCAAGAATCCCTAACAATAATTTTATAAAGGAAAGGAACCCGCTAGCAATCTTACAATGTGATCCTGGCCCAAGGAGGGTCAGGGGAGATCTCTGGGGATGGCCCAGTGGGGCAGGAGCAGGTGGGGGATGGGGCAAAGCGCCGGGAGGGCTCTGTGTCTCAAGCCTGCTGGGCGCTGAGAGGGAGGATGAACAGGCCGTCAGCCTGTACCTTCCACAGGAGGGTGAATGCTGCATGGGGGCCTGGGGCCATATATGCCGGGGAGGCACAGAGATGGGCATCCAGAGGCATGACTCAGCAGATCCTGGGGCAATGGCGATGTGGGGGGTCACCCACACAGACTCGAGGGACAGATGGAGCTGAGTCGCAGGAGAGGTTTGAAGGGAAGCTCAGTGACAACGCAAAGATCCCACAAATTACTGTGTATTCCTGCTGAAAAACTGCGCGGATCAAACAGTAGGCGGTTCATGGAGCAGAAAGCAGCCATTTCATGGGGAGAGCCGTGGAGAAGCTCTGCAGACACCACAGACCAGGAGAGGCACGTCAGAAAGATCAGGCAAGCCAATAGAGAAGGCACACAGCTGAAATCACAGGGCATGGGGGTGAGGTGGGACACGGGAAGGGACAGTACCCGTTTAAGGCACAGGTATTCATGTGGCATAGTGGGCCACGTGCCCACCTCAGCTCAGAGGGAGAGGACGGGCAGGGAGAAGGGCCAAGGCAAGCGCTGACGGGGCTGGCAGGAGCCCTGCCCAAGGGACACACAGCTTCGCTGAGGGGTGCTCGTGCCTGCGGCCTGTGTGAGCTTTGGCGTCCCATCCTCGGAAGCCTTGCCAGTTTCTAAGAGTCCCCACCCCCAGCTGATGCGGGCGTTTAAGTGGGGAAGGCAGCTGTAGCCCAAGCAAGCAGCAGGCCTGGGGAAGGGCCTTTCTCCAACAACCTCCATAGGGCATCTCCCCAGACAGAGGAGGTGAGGCCGCCCGGGCTGCGCACGACCACCCACTGGAGGGTCAGACCGCTCGCAAAGGGCCATGTTAAGCACGTGCGAGGCGAGCATGGAAGGAATCCAGCCTGAAGGCCGTCTCCATGCCCCAACTTTGGCTGCTGGACCTGAAGCAAATAGTCTGCAAATACAGTACTTCTTTCCAAGGAACTGCATTATCAAAAATGTGAAGACATTAAAAACACCAGGGTTGCAACAACCAGTAACCATTCAGTTCCTAATACCTGGCCCCAAACTCACACCAGTGGAAAGCAGGCTAGTAAGACGGGGCAGGCACATGATGCCACACCACAGCCTCGGGAGACAGGGGCCAGGAGGCTGCAGGGGTAATGCCACAGGGAGCCCTGGGCACTCTCTGCTGTCTGCCCGGCCACGGTGCCCGCGTCCTGCTCAGGAGCAGCTGGGACCACATGGATACATCACACCTGAGCCAAATCCATCCTGGCCTCAGCACACGTTTCTTGGCCAAGTGGCTGACCTAAGAGTAAGCCAGTCTTCTGGCTGAGATCCGGGGACACCTGCCATGTGTGTTCCTCCTTCACACTTAAAAAGCTACCCAATAAGGCTACTAAGCTGAAAACTTGCCCACAGGTCTCCCGATGGGCACAAGGGACTGGGGGTGAAACAGAACCCACAGTGACTCGCAAGACAGACCCTGAGCTCAGACTCCAGAAACGCAAGCCCATTCAAACTCACGCGCCCCACAGTGAGAGCACAGATGCGCTGATGTGGGGGTGACGCCACGCGTCTGACGGCTGAGGGGAGTCTTGCAGCTATCTGCCCAGTTTATAAACTCTGACAATCCCTGCCTACACGCTCCCAAGGCAGGTCCCAGCCCCAAGGGCCTGAGATGCTCCCAGGGGTCTGCTGCCTGCCGGCTCCAGCACAGTCTCCCCCTTCATGTTGCTGTAAGAATATGGATGTGACGCCTGGAGCTAGAGCAGCTACCTGGAAATCATAAAGTGAAAAGTAGCAGGACAGCACCAGCACACAGTCCTCAAGCCTGCGAGCCTCCTCCCTCCAGATGGCTCAGCTCCAGGCTGACATGAAACACCACAATCAGGTACTTACTTATAGCAAGGAAGACAGCATGGCATCCCCTGCAGAGAGGATGGAAGGACAGACAGCCTCCAGAGAAAGACAAAACCCACCTCACTGTGTGTGCCACACACAGCTCGCTGCTGGCACAGAGCAGACGAGTCTGAAATCACCCCCCACGGCCCCACGTCCACACGTGCACAAGGAAATCCGGCACAGCACTGGTTAGAGAACAGGGGCGAGTCAGAAGAAGCCAGATCTCCGGCAACAACAGGATGAGGGAGGACGCTATGGCATGTACCTGTTGCATAGAATTTCATAACAGCTGCTGTGAACAGACTGAAGTCACATTCACAGGCACGGCTAAATCTCAGAAACAGAATTCTGATTATTATGAAAGGTATGTTGCATTAGCAAATATAAAACCGTGGATGGGAAGCAAACACACCAATCTCAACACGAGGAAAGTTACCACAGCCAAGACTGGAAGCAGCCAGGTGTCCACGGTTGGACGAGTGGATAAAGATGAGGTGTATGTACACACGGGGGAGTACTACTCAGCCGTCAGAGCGGATGAGACCTTGCCATGTACAACAAGGATGGGCCTAGAGGGTTTTATGCCAAGTGAAATAAGTCAGAGAAAAACAGATACCCTATGACCTCACTTATATGTGGAATCTAAAACACAAAAGAATAACAACAACAAAACAGAAACAGATTCATACATACAGAGAATTAACTGGTGGCTGGCGAGAGGGAGGGGCGGGGGGGCAGTGGGGGGATGGGCAGAATAGGGGAAGGGGATTATGACACATGGGTCCTGAGGATGGGAGTGCAGCACAGGGAATACAGTGAACAGTACCGGGTACTCTGGAAGGTGACGGATGGTAGCTACACTTACCATGGTAAGGAAAAAAAAAAGCAGAGGAAAGAGGGGGTGGGAACTGGCCCAGGAAGGCAGGTCACTAATCATCCCCATAATGTTTTATTCCTTTAAAAATTTGAAAACAAAACAAATGTTAATATTTGCACAGGGAAGTGTGAACAGGTGTTCCATCTGTATATTTAGCACGTGCGTGTGTGTATGAAACAGTTCCTGTTTTAACTTCACTACAAACACAGTAGGAGTCGTCCCACATAATATCAATCAGACGCGTTGCTGAACCAAGGTCAGAGTTCCACGTTCCGAAGCCCCGGAGCCTCTCGTCACACCAAGGCCCCTGCGTGAGGCACTGCAGATGAGCTCTGAGGAGGGAGAAGCCCGTCCCTCGGCTCTCAGCAGCAGCTTGCAGTGAGGTGATTCAATTTTGCACAACATGTGTAAATGAAAACCCTCTATTTACATACGACCCAGCAGGAAACAAGGCTCCCCCCGACCATGGAGGGAAAGGAAGCAAAGAGCAGGCTACGCACCTTTGGATCTCATCCTTGCAAGTGTCGACATGGTACTTGAGGAGCTGGAGTTCGGGGCCCGAGGACAACAATATAAAAGTGTCTATGTAATAAAACTGTGCAGACCGAACGGGCTTGGAAAACATGTCTTTGCCCTGGAACGTAAATCAGTAGTCATGGCCAGCGTAACAGAGGCAGACAAGACACACACGGAGACTCTTTCCTATCAACCCACGCGTCTACTCTAAACGTGGACACACTTCCTTAGAACCGGTTCACCATTTTGTTTCTTCTTCCCGACTACTTCAGAAAGATGTCACATGATTAAAATGTTTCTGTAATGAGTATTTTGAATCCCGGCCATTTAAAAACTTTAAAAATAAAATAAAATTGATACTTGGCAGTGAGGATATTAAGTAGTGAGGATTTTATTAAAGATAAATTCTAACCGTGGAACACAGTTCTGAGGCGTCAGTGTCACGTGGGAGATGACAGTGTCAACGACCCTAAAACAGACCCGTCGCCTTGAAGCTGCTCCCAAACGCCTCGTCCCGGAGTCCCCAGTCTGACGATTTCCCTTCCTGGCTAGTCTTCCCAGGATCCAATCCCCCTTTCACAGTAAGACCCGCAGGAGATAAATGCTAACCACAGCTTGGAGAATCTGCAGTCCCCCAGCTCCTGATCTGACTCGTGGGGGTGCGGCCCTGTGGTCACCTCCCTCTCCCGCCTCAGCTGTGACATCATCACCACCGCCCTTCTCGTCTCTCCCATTGTCTCCAAATGGTCTTCTCTAAGCGCGCAGAAACGCTCACAAGTAACGGTGCGTGCGTACAAGTGCACACGTGTCCGTGTGTGCGCGCGCGGCTGTCACACACTACGCAAGTGCACACATGTGTGAGTATGCACATGCATAACATGTAAGAAAATGCTGAATCGCTGACCACCGCGGGTGCACCGGAGCAACTGTGGTTCACCCCATTTCCCATGCTCCTGGTGAGGGTACAAGCCCAGGCCCCACAAAGGCGCTGGCGTGCCTCTGTGACTGCCGGTCTGGGGGCTGCAGGGCTGGTCAGTGAAACCCCGCCCGCAGCCGGCGCTGGGGTGGCCCGTTACCACACACAACGCGAGTTCTGCCCCACGGAGTGACCACAGCCTCAGCGTCCCGTCCTGGGAGGTAGACAACAGCCACCGGCCGTCATGGCTCCAGCACACGGTGCTCACCGCCCCGTCGTGACCTAACAGAAGACACAAACACAGGTGCCCCTGGGACTTCCATCCCGCAGGACGCGGCTGTTCCAGGAGCAAATTGCCAGGCCAGAGGCGTTCCTAAGCCATGCTGGCAGCAGTGAGACCAAAGCCCAAGGGTTCCTTTAAAGGCTCAGTACGGTTTGTGAAGGAGGTACTTCAAAAATGTATGTTTAAAACATGCAGCTCAAAATTATGTGTGCATCTGTGCTTGAAAAGAACATAAACTGTAGAAACTCACAAAATGTAGCATTATAAGAGGTACGGAAGTCTGTGGGCTTCACAATGACGCATCTTCAAGAGCTGTTGCTCTCTCAACACTGAAGGAAAAGGCGGAAGGATTCGCTGCCCGCGGCCACGTACGGTCTGACTACTGTTATGGCTGTCGGAGTCTGCGACGCCACCAGCAACAGGCTGCATGAACACGCCGCATGAACACGCCCCACAGGACCCGCAGCACGCGGGGTTGTGCAGGAATGAGATGAGCAGTAACATTCAGGCCCATCACCGGGTCAAGAACATACCGGTTACTTGCTTCTCTCTTCCTATCGAAACACCTAAAGAGAAGCTCTACTGTGCCAACCGCAGTGTGTCCTTGAGGCAATCTCTGTCATTCAGGGGCGCGTGCACTGCTGTGGGCCGGGGCCTGACCGGCCAGGCACCAGGTTGGGCACCCAACGCGGTCCATCAACTACTGCAATCGCACACGAGGTCAACGGGACAGCCCGTCCTTGTGCGCGGGTCCCCCGTCCCCCGCCTGCCTCAGCTCCACGCGGTGCAGAGAACAGACGCGCGCCCCTGCGGGAGCCAGACACTCTACCACTGCGCCAGGCCACCAGCCAGCCCTGCTCCTTCTCACCGGGCGCCGGCTGTCTCCCATGCAGGCTGACCTCTGCATCCTGCCTCCAGCAGAGGCCCAGGAGGCCGCTTCAAAGGGTCCTGCCCCTGCTGCCACCAGCCATGCTGGGAAGCAGAGGAGCCCAAGGACAGGCAGAGCCAGGCCGCTGGGGAAATGAAAACCGTGGGCTTTCTGGAGTGGAGAGGGACAGGGTGGGCAGGCTGGGGTGCGAGCACCCCCTGCCACGGCACAACTGGGGAGTCTGGATGGTGCTGTGCCACATGGGGCACGGGGATGGGCCCAGGGGCCCCAGCAGCACAGCAAAGCCACCTTTCCCTGTGGGCCCCGCGTCTGGCTGGGACAGCAGAGAGAGGACCCGCAGACACGGCAGCACATCTGGGAACGTGCCAGCCTCTGGCTCAAGCACTCTGTAACCGAACGTGCACGGAAGCCAGTGCCCCCGTGAGGACATTCCTGCTGTGGCTGGACCACCACAGAGGAGACAGTGAGGGGCCGACCAGCCAGAGAACCAACACGGAAGAGGTGGAAAAGGCAGGAGAGATTTATAGAGTAGGCACCGTGACCCGGGACAACCGGAGTCGGATTTCCCGAAATAGCTCTGCTGCCCTCTGGTGTAGGTTTCTGGGAGTTTTACCAGAAGGACAGAGGCCCCATTGCGCCAGGCTGCACCGTTGCTGCTTTGCTGAGAAGGAGCAAGGCCGGGGAACACCAGGGATGGCACCTGTGACGCTTCACTGCAGGTCAGTGTGTCTGAGAACCCACGACCACCCGCTAGCGTCCCAGGTGCTCTGGGCCGTGACGGGTAGGCGGCTCTGCCTGTTCTGGCCTGGGACCTGCAGATGCACCTGTATTCCCAGCTCAGTGGCTCCCTTCCTCAACATCACATAGGGGAGCTCAGACCGCCACCGCCTTACCCTGCAGTGACAAGGCCGACAAGCCACAAGTCAGAGGGACACGCGCAGTGAAGTCACCAACATTTAGCTGGGTGTAATTCTTCCCAATTAAGTGGTAATCCACTGCAGTGGGGACACCCTCTGCCCTGCCATCCCTCCCTGCTAACTAGTATTCTGAGCCTGGGCGCCCAGACAAGGTCAGCTGAGTTACCAAAGAAGGCTGAAGTGCTCTTATCGCAGAAACCCTAAACAGGCACCCCTCTGCTGGCCCCCAAGCATCACCGGGACATCGATGAGCCCACCCAGTGCATCAGCCAGTAAGGCAGGGACAGACCTCTCTGACTCCGAATGAGAACACTACATGACCTTCTCCTCCGAGCTCCAGCCTGCACCAAGCAGCTGTGACTGCAAGGCCTGGCGCAGGGACCCCAGTTCCAGCCAGCCAGCGTGCCTAGCAGGGACCTTGGCTGGGCTCCTCCTTCCTCCCCTCAGCTCAGCTCCACGCTGCACACACTGCCTTCTCCCTGAACCACACTGACGGCTTCCCACCTTGGATGGCAGGTGCCCCTGTGGCATGCGCACTGCAGTGATAAACCTCAGGAACAGAATGAACAGGACACAAGACACATCTGAGTCCTCCCCTTCCCTGAGGCCAGGGCCTGGCTTGAGGTGTGTGACCCCCGACACCAGGATGGCAAATGTGTGGCTGAGATCAAGCGGACTGAGAACTTAATGCCAGAAAGCAAGATGTTCTGAGCTCAAGTCCACCCTTTTTTCAGAATTGGTTTTTAAGCAACTCCATAATATTTAATAAAATCTTAACTAAATTTAATCTTGTGAAGTGGCTGGCCCCAGAATTCCACTCTTACACCCCTCAGCCTTGGGCACGTCCTCCTGCCACGGCTGCGATCCATCCAGCCGTGTCCTCGAGCATCTGCTCTGTGCCCCGCACTCGCTGAGGGACAGAAGCAGGGTCCCCACAATGCTTGTGCTGGACAACAAGGTGTGATGGGCGGCGTTCCACATTCGAAAGCACAAACATGAAGCCCTTACTAAATTAAATGCTGTCATGACCAGGGGCTTTCAAGCTGGGATACACAGCTGGCCATGCTCTCCTAGGACCCAGTCCTGAGTTCTCTAGGATGGGATTCTAACTTAGCAACTAATTTTAACCACAACAAAATATCCAGATTATACTGGCCTCATTTGTCCTAGATTGTGATGAATATTAAAACGCCCATTTTCCTGCTTTCTGCGTGAAGTGTGGAGAAAGCAATCGTATTTTCAAAGTTGAACCATATGACTAGTAACCCAGTGGTACAAGGCAGAATGGTGTCCTAGAACAGGTGGGGTGGGTAAGAATGACACTTTTCCCCAAAACACAAACAGGGCACTTTTTTAAAAGGCAAGTTTGAACATCTCCTGCGTTATGTGAATTCAGCCACAAGCCCTATTCCTGCAATAAAACAGATAGAGAAACATCCACATCCAACATAATTGCCATTTCTATCAATTGTTGAGCGATAGAAAGACACCCAGGCGGAGTCCTGGGCACATGCAAGGTGCCTTAACGGGAGCCTTCCGCACGACAGTTTGAACCCCGGAGGGATGATGTGGCTGTGGGCTGGGAAGCTGCCCTCCAGAAGGCCCCCCAGTGCTGCCAGGAGGCCCATTGTAGACCTGGAGGTACCCGAGTCTGGAGGAGCACTGTGGGGCATGCTCCCGCCCCCTCCACCCACCATGTCTGCGCCCCACCCCCTCCTCCAGGTGCTCCCTCCTCTACTTCACAGAAACACCTGGACGGGCAGCATTTCTGGGTTGTTTTTTGTGTGTGTTTCTGTTGTTGCTAAAATATCTACAAGTGTGATTCTTGCAGTGAGGGGCTCCAGGAGCCTGACCGAGAGTGGGGGTAGCTCAGAATCTCTCAGGAAGCTACAACAGCAAGACTTCCAACACCTCAGCCTCACCTCAAATCTACTCACCTGAGAAACATCCTCACTGCATTACGTTTATAAAAATGTCTGTGTACAAACCGTCCTAATTTTCCAAACGTGCTTTAATCATGTCTGTAAGATCTGACTTGGCCCCTCCCCAGCGACTTGGTAGAAGCTTAGTTCCCTGACCATGGGGCACTGTGACAGAACTCCTGCAGCCTGGCCTTCCTGGTTACACCCCTTCTTCCCAGTTTAGTGGGGCCAATCTAGTTCGCTAAACCTCCATGCAAGCCGTAGTTCTAGTCCAGTCTGATCTTGAAGAGAAGAGCAATTGTTACCCAGGACCAAAAGGAGACCCACCCATAAATTTATAGTAACTACAACTGACACACATCATACCTGAAAAAACAGCAGGTGCCCCAGTGAGATCAGCACGGAAGACCAGCGACAGGTGGTTGGCTAAGCCGCAGGCGAGCCGCCGTCCATCCCCTGCTTAAACACGGTAAGAGATATCCCTATAAAATCACAGCTCACAAGAGTCACACTTGCAACAGTAAATACAGAATCTGAGTTAACCTGACGTTCGTTTTGTCAGTGTGAGGGAACCTAAAACAGCACTTGCTCAATGGCTAACCACCACACTTTGAGGGTCCACCAGGTGGCATCCCCCAGGACGTCCTTTAGAGAGGACCTGGGAGTTAGGAGCCACAGGGCTACTCAGAGTCAGCACGGGGTTCTGAACCCAGAGAACCTTAACCCCCAGGGCACCCTGCCTCCCATCAACAGATTTTAAGACACGTAGTATTCAGCTATGCAAGAATATTTAAACCTATTCCTAACACAGGGCAGAACTAAGTTACAGACCACCCCCCCCCCATGATTTTCCAACTCATGGAGCTCCTACTTTATTTCTAATCATATCATACAATCACATGATCAAAAATAAGCAAGACTATCTCACACCACAACTTCATTGATGATACTATGTATCTTATTTCCCAAAATCACTCAAACATGCTTTGGCTAAACTTACATGAAAAAGAAGGGAACTCAGCATAGTTGGAAGTAATGAAAACTGCAGGAATGCCCTCAAAATGCTGAGGGGTGGCCTTCTAGCCACCAGACTGAGGGCAAACACATCTTCTCACCTCCAGGTATGTCTAGAAACCACAAACAACGTGTGCTTCTGAACAAAGAGCTCAGATCGCAGAGCCACCTGGACGGGAGCTGCTCCCCACTTCCTGCAAACTCACTTAGGAAAAGTGCTGAAGGCCCAGAAAAGAGTCTGGCAGAGGCATTTCAATGTGCTTGAGAGAACATGGCTGTCCCCAGCCCAAGACGCGCTGGGCCTGCAGGAAAGTCTCCATCTGAGGAGGGATGGCGACCACACAGGACACCGAGGTAATCCACCCTGAGCGGTCTCCTCCACCCTCTGCGAACCAGCCCCCCACCCCCTCGTAGCTCCCTCCAACGCTACAGAGGAGAGGGTCACACACACACACAGCACAGACTGGCCAAGCCTCCAATTCCAAATCCAGGAGCTCCCGCCTACAGCAGCGGCCGGCGCAAGCGGGAATGCCCTAACGCCAGTACGCTCAAGGGCAACGTGAGCTTTGATTTTAATCCAGACTCAAACAATGCCAGAAAACTTCACGCAACCAAGATTTTTAAAGCTCTATTTACAACGGAACAGTGGCAGTTGAGAGACCCTTGGAAACACAACGAAGGGCGGCCCCGGGCGTGGCGTACCTGAGTACTGGACACAGCTCACAGCCGCCGGACTGTGCGCGATGACACGCTGCTTGTGGACTTTGGTTGGTGGAGAACTCTCCAAAGGGTATTCCTTACTGGAAGGAACATCAGAAAAATGAAAATCGAGAGAGTTCAAAGTGAGATGAGAAATAAAACAACGGACTAGAAATGGTGGATTCTCCCCTATTTACATGCGCAATTTCATTCTATCCAACTTGAATACATATAAATACACACAGAGCCATGAATAACTCTGTAAAATGCACTTCCGCTCCATTTTCAGTACAAACTGTCAAGGATTGCTCATGTTCACCATACACTGAAGTGACTCTGTGAGGACTCGGTGAGAGAAGACATCCTGCACTTCCCGGTTTCGCCCTCTCTGTGGGCGGCCATCATACTAAGTACTCTAATAATCTATAGATGGCTTATATCTGCCGTGAGAATAACCACATCCCCAGGCTGTGAGACAGACCATGGCGGCTTGCGGGAAAGGACCGATGGCCGGGACCCGCGCAGGGGCAGGCTGGGTGGAGTGGGTCCTCCCACTGAAGGCATCCATCTCTTGAGGCAAAATCTCCTCAGTGTTCATGTTCAGCACCTGGTTTGGCAGCCTCTGAGCGGCAGCAAGGCCACAGGCACCAGAGGCCAGGCTCCTCCCTGGTGCCCATGTGGCCCCCACAGCCCTCCCACCTCAGCGGAACCACCTGTCACGCAGCATTGCTACGTGCTTCAGGGAATGTGGAAAGGCGCCAGGCACACAGCAAGGGCAGAAAAAGAAAGTAGCTGTGAAGACAGGCTGTTGTAAAAGCTGGAAGTTACTGGTGACAAGTTACACATTTATTCACACCTTTAGAGGCCATACAAGCTGGAAAGACTGGCCTTGCAAGCCTGCCCCACAGCCAGGCAGCACCATCCCTCCAGAGTGAAATCCGGTAGGTGTTTGGAGGAGCCTTTCCCTGAGGACATTGGCCTGTGTCCAGGACGTTGTTAGGGGTCCTCCCCTCACTGAAACCCCTCAACAAATGCCCCCCGGGCCAGAAACCCATCAAAGACCACCGGCTCTGTCTGGAGAGCTGGGTTCCCATAGGAAAAAGTCACCAAGAAGATCAGAGTTGAGCATGGCTCTTGGTTCTGCATTCCATCCCCAACCATTGGTCTGAGTATCACAGGGTCTGAGGGCACCTGCTGGGGTCACATCACTGCCACCCGTGACCTGCTGATACAGGAGCAGCGGAGCAGGGCAGGAAGAGCATCGGGGCATAGGAGAAACATTACAAGACTGGGTAAAACCAGCATTCTCTGTGCTGTGGACGAGAGCAAGTGACATTTCAACACCACAGCCTGGAATCTCTGTCCAGATGAGGTCATCTCCAAGTGTGGGACTGGGAGGGTCCTGGAGGGCCCCCCACACACCTTCTCATCCAGGTACATGGGGCCTGGGCACCAGCAGGACTGGCCACGGTCCCGCATGCGCTGCACAGCACCCGTGGGACAAAAACAACGTCCAAGTCTATGCGCTCAGCTCAGGTCTGCTCACATTCTTCTGTCCAGTTATTACCTAACAAACTTATCAAGAATGGTCCATCATCGACCACAACACTTTCTAAAACAGAATTTTAACAAAAATTAATATTCCTAAGTTGTTAAGGTGGTAAAGATAGCAACCTGTCTGAAAAAGGGTTGATAAGGAAGAACTGAATGGGACCAAAAGGGCATGTATATACAAGTGACATATGCACATTGCACGCACATGTGCTCATATATACACGCAGCCTCACAAGCTCGCACACCTGTTTGAAAAAAATTCACTTAGAGTATTCAAAGGGTCTCTCCAAATTACACATTTACTTCGGGCAAAGCAGTTACGTACCACCTGTGACAGTCCCTACATGGTAAAGAGCGGTCACCGCTGCTCCTGGTGTTGGTCTTTGGTGAGAACAGAGTTATGCTGCAGAAAGCAAACACATTACCCTCAAAGATTACAGTTCTAAGCTTCTTAAGAGACCTATATTTTACAGCAAAATATAATATATATTTAAATATATTAATGTTTTCAGTGTCCCATGCTGGAAATACACTGAACATTCAATTACTTCAATTGTAACAACTACCCTTCCACTTACACATTTGCAGTAGCATTCTTGGGACACTGTCTCCTTTTAGAGAATGCAAGTATAGGATCACAACAGAAACTGAACTGCATTTATGATTTATGGACGTTATTTGTGAACCTACTCAGAAACAGAAGTGAAATCACTGGGAAGTAATGCTGAATCCTCCCTTTAATAAAATCAAATTATCGAATATTGGCAGTAGCTGAACAGTCACCTGGTACTGGCCTGTTTTTCAGATGAAGAAACAAGACCCCAGAGATTCTGAGACACAGAGTGCCGAGCCCCAGGGATGCATGCTGGACAGCCACACTCCCACCCCACACCTGCATCCAAGCCTCTCAGAGCAAGCAGCACATTCTGCATCAGGCCGTGCCCAGAGCCATCAGGACAAGGGGCAGGAGAGGGTGGCCCGGCCCTGGGCCACAGCCAGGGACTCTGCATTTGCCGCAGGATCCACAAGACCCCTGGGTGCTGAGGAGGGGCTGGGGCCCGGATGAGGGAGGATGGGAGAAGAGAGTTCAGGTGTACTGAACCCTACCTGCATGCCCCAACATGGGCAACCTATGAGCCCATTTACTCACTGTGGTGTGGACGCATACCCAGACGACCTCACTTTGCTGTGGAAAACCAGGGGCTGGTCCTTAATGGTGCTCCGCATGGCTGCATAAAATGAGTGTCAAAAGTAGCAAATACTGAACATGACAAGAACAAAGTTCCTTGAAAACAGAAAAGTTCACACAAATGGAATGAGGTTATTACCTATAAAACTTAAGAGGTCTCATACCTGATGCCAAACCAACCACTACCCGCAAAGAAGGTCACATCAAGGGCATTAAAAGCATAAGAAAACAACAAGAAAATGTTTTTCTCATTCCTCAAATGATACTGAATTGCAGTATGTTCAATGCCACATATTTCAAATACTCTGGATGAACATGTCAGCTCAAGGTGTAATAAAACAGGCCCCACACAAAGCCCGGTCTGTCTGAAATTCTGTCCACGGGATGCTAAAGACCAGCTATCAGTAGCAATCCGCACCATAAATCTGTGACCAATACATCTTTTCTACAAACAAGTATAGCAATGATCTTAACTCAAATTCCTCGGTTAGACTCTTTTTTATCATAAGATAGAATAATAAGAAAGATAAACCACTAAAACATAATTACAACAGTGCCTTTTAATGGCAATAAAACTTATTATCCTATTTTTAACCTAAGTCTTCCACAACACTGCAGACTGATAAAAACTCTGACATTGCATGAACTTACCACAAATATTTATAAATCTCAAAAATTCTCTCAGATGAAATAAAATTCTGCCAGAATTATTTATACATACACTTAATACTTGGTATCCAATATGAATATTCTGTACAATAGTATAAAATAACTTCAGAAAAAATGGATAATTGTATAATACTGAGTTATTTTTAAAATAGTTCTCTTTTATTTTAAACAAAGAAATTTAGTTCAGTTTCTGATACTATTTCAAACCTGTAACCTGGACCATATTCCCATCAAAAACCAAGTGAAACTAATGAGCAAATCACTAAAATGACATGTTTGTGACCAGGAACCGGGGACGCATCCCGTCCTACACAAGGCAGATCCCCCCCGGGGGGGAGGGGGGAGGCAGGCTCCTCAGGGGAGACCTGGAATAAAACTGCACTCAGAGAGGACCCAGAAAACCTCTCTCCACCTCAATGTCAAGTGAAGGAGAAAAAAAATCTCCGAGAAAAATAAAGCCAACAGTAAAATACTCTCAGGATCAGGTAATAAAGTTACAGATGCATTAGTGTACTTGATTATGAGAAGGTCTTAAAATTACTAGAATAAAGTTCATGAATATGTAAATGCCTATTATTTTAATAAATGCCCTAAGCATTAGAGTAAAGCAATTCCTCATCACAGATATTTCTTGTTTCTATGTGCTTTCTGCAAGTAGAGGGATGTGAATTTTTAGATTATAGGATAGCTATAAAGCAGTCATTTTCAGTAATTTTCCATACAAATGTTATTTTAAACAAGACATAAAACCATCATAAAAAAAATCAACAATTTGAAATTTCACCACTCTCTGGATACAGAGAAATTATAAGCTTTGTAATAACCTTACTGTTTATATAATTGTTCTTATCAAAGGTTTTGTTCTACACATCATTTAGCTGTGATGCATGGTATATCATATACCCCATCTGAGTAAGATGATCCATACTAGCAAAAAATGAAAAAAATCAATTTTTAAGGGTAAATCTAAATAAAACATATGCAAGAACAAAAGCTAAAGAAATAAATGAGTTCAGTAAAAAAAGTAGGAGAGAGAATCATGGGTCTCATTTCACAACAGATTTCCACATGGAGGCGTGCTGTGAGATCATGCTCCTGAAATGTAAAGTCGCCCACATGTGGCCGATGAAAATGGCCACACTTACAGGGAAAAGACAGATTACATCATTAGCCATGTAACATACAGATTTCATCCCACAAGTAATTCTCCTTGAGTAAAAATATACTTAGAACTTCAATACACCTAGTAAAGCCTCTCCACTTTTAGTAACACACGGACATAGGAATGGACAATTCTTTGAGGAAGCTGCTATTTAAATAAGGACTGGTAGCTGACTTCCTGCTGAGCAATCCTCTCAGCTGGGTTTTCAGACTGAAGGGGAGGGACGGGGAGCACAGAGAGACAGAGCAGCTCAGAAACCCAGCAGGGGTGACCCGATCCCCAGTGGACCTGGCCGGCAGTGACCTGGGAGGGTGGCAGCCGGGGGTTCTGCACTATCTGTCCCAGAAGGACAGTCAAGGATCTCAGAGGGTCTCATGGAGAAGGCAGGGGACGGCTGGACGCAGGGGCTCACCAGCGCAGGAGATCTGCAGGCGAGGAGAGCCTGGCGGTCCAGCAGGGGGCACTCCATCCTACCTAACCCTGCCCTGTCCAGGAGCTGGGTCCCTCGCCAGAGATGGAGATAAAAGCAGATTGACTGAGCACCTCTACTGTTTTTTAATTAGGTCAATAGAAGCTTAACAAGACTGATAAGGACACTGAGTTGGTCACTGAAGGGGAAAAAAAAATCATTATCAATGATTCTTACAATGGAAATAAATGGAATGTAATGATGTCTATCATCGTAAAACAGAAGTTAATTTTAAAATCATTTCTTTGTAAAAAGCAACATGTGAATTTGTTTTCTGCTTATAATAAAACAATAAGAAAAATTTTTGAGGCAATCAGGAATAATTTATATGGGCTGGCTAATACAAGAATTACCATTGGTTTTGATATAATGACGTCACACCTAGGTAAGCAAATGTCCACATGTTTTATAAATGCATGCTGAAGTATACAGGGGAAAAATAACATGATGTTTGCAATGTGCTTGAAAATTATTCAGCAAAGATAGGCAAGAAAAGATTGCTCCCATGATAAATGACTGGACATCCCTGGGTACCACTGCTCTTCTGGCCACGGGAAACATCAGCATTTTTAAATATTTCTGAATTCCTATGAATTCTACGCAATTCAGGAAAAGAAACATCTAGCACATTCCCTACCACAAAGAGCATGTAAAACATGTGAAAGGTAGGGAAATGAAGGAACACCAGAAGGGAGGAAACACTGAATTTTCATGCTGACAAACATGAATTCACAAAGCAAGAGAATGGTGCCGATCAGCACGGGGCCGAAGGGCAGCACCAGCTTTGTACACTGATATTCCAGAGTGCATTGTACTCACCGGACTGTCTCTGCGGAGCCGGCTGCGTCCTGTTTTCCTCAGCAGGTCTGAAGTACAGTGGAGAGGTGGGGAGAACATTGGCACTAAGGTAGAAACACAAAGTGCACCAGGAGAGCAGACTCACATACTGGCCTCATAGCTAGGAAAGGTACATTTTAAGGACACTCACAAGCGATTAGTAATTCATGTACATATGGGTGTGCAATGTTTGGAAACAAGCTTACTCTTATCCTTCTTAGAAATAATTTTTAATATTTTTAATAAAAGTGCTACTTCATAATTTACATTCTATCCTGAAATACAATAGTTTTGCATTAAAATAAACTATGAATCATTTAGTTTTAAACAATATAGAAGCAATACCATGAGCAATCATTGCTCTCAAACAGGGTTAGTACAGTTGGGAGTTTACTAAACTTTACTTTTCTTTCTTAAGGTCAAAAGGAATCGAAATTCCACCAGCTGGTAAAGTTGAAGGTGTACACCCTACTGAGGAAGACTGTACCGAGGCAGCACGGAGAGATCCCTTCCCGCGTTGTGCCCCCGCTGAGACCTCACCAGAGCAGCAGCATAGATTTCCAACAAGGCGATCTTACGGCCACACAGGGACGTGAGTAAGCAGACGGCCTGCACGGACAGTCAACAGTGAACACACAGGACCCCACGGCAAGCGCAGCATCAGTCATGACATTAGCAGCTACGGTATAGCTGCACATGCCACCGTGCGCCTCATAAACATGCCGCCTGCCAACCGTATGGCCGCCGGGGAGCTAAGCGGCACAAGTACAAGAGCTGCAGGACTCACCTTCTCACCACCGACCTTGCTCATCACTGCACATGATCCGGCAACTTGAATGCTGGGGCTCCTGAAATCTTCGTTTCCGGCAAAGAGAAACAAACCAGCGCTGCTGTCGGGGTAAGTGGAGGGAACCACCCACTCACGGACACATCTCTGCACACAGGCCTGTGTGGGGGCTGGCAGGTCTCGAGCCCCGAGGCCCTTACAAAAACCCTGCCCCTGGAGCAGACCCGAGTCACGGAGAACCACAGACCCTGTGCGCAGTGTAGCCTCGGGGGAGCAGGAAGAACAGAGCTCCCGGGGCAGGTTCAGGTGAACCTTCAAGGGCAAGCAGGAGGAGAAACGGGAGCTCTGCTTTGGAGGGTTCAGGCAAAGTCCCACAGGTGATGAAAAGGCACAGTGACTTCCCGTGAGAATGGACGCATGGGCTGGCCCAAGCTAAGAACTCAGACTCTGTCCCCAGAGCACAGGGGCCTTAAAAGAAAAAGAAGGGAGCTTGCATTTACCGGTGACCTCGGCTGCAGTGCATACAGGGAGGGCAGAGAAGGAAGCGTTAATCATGCCTGCATTTCTGGCAGGGGCAGCTCCATGCATGGTGGTCATGGAACCTGAGGACAGGAGCCAGGGTTGGACAGGAGGGTGCCCCAGCTCAGTTCAAACAAGTTGAGTCTGACAAGCTGATGAGGCCAACCAGTCACCCAGTCACGGTGTTGTCTCCAGTGGGAAATACTGATGGGGTGGACCTAAGAATCCTTGGTAGGAGCTTGGGACAGATGCGGGAGTGCTAAAGAGAACAAGTGTGCCTCGGGGCCCTGCACACACATGGAAGATGGGAGGACTGGGGGCCAAGGGAAGGGAGACCCACAAAGAGGTAGGAGTGGACTCAAAGCGTGTCCTTGGGATCCTGCGCACAGAGGCTGCCTGTGGCCCGTCTGCACATTCTGATGACTAGGCCTTCTACACCAAAAGGATCACTCTCCCAGATGCCAGAGAAAAAGATTAATTGAAGTTACATGAAATTTATATCAAAGATGATCTGAACTTTGATCTTACCCTTATAATGTAAAACGGCTTCCAGTTCAAAGTTTGCCAAGTTAAATATGAATAAGCCAGCTGAGCTTCCAATCCACAAGCATGTAGTATTCTCAGAAGAAAGACTAATTTTAAAGGAAAAAGAGAAAACGCCCAGCTGGTCTCCCTCCTCAGGCTCCCATCCCACAGAGCACCAGGGAGCGGGCCCTCCTCAAGCTCTTCTAGGCAGCCAGCTCTTGGCATTTAGGATCTATAACTATCCTCGACGAGGCTGGTATTTCGGGTTTCCTGGACACCTGCTGTCTGGTGAAGACAAGTACTAAGCAGCCACAGCCGGATCCCAACTCGACTGTGATCTGCAAGGTTCTCCTTTCTCTGCGGCCACAGGACTCTGCTCAGGTGGGCATCCCTGTGAGAGGGGCAGCGCGGCACCTGCAGGTCCTTCCACGCAGTGTCTGGAAAGGAGGAAACCAGCTCAACAGGAAACAGACCAAAGTAGCAGAGCCCATGAAAGGGCAAACACAGCTCTGCTTTCTCTTCTACTTTCTGATATACAAACTAGATAAACGTTAATAAAGGGACCGATAAGCCCCTCTGGCTGTGCCAGACCTGGACTCTGCACAGCTCTCGGCGCCCTCTCTCCCACCTCCCTCTTGGTCCCCTGAGGCCTCTGAGCACCCTAACTTCCTGGGCTCATTCTCGGGCCCTCGTGCTCCCACAGCCATCCCCAAGTCAGCCAAACAACTGCACCCCAGGGGAGGAAGCCCGGGCCGATCCTCAAGGAGCTCCAGCACAGGTCATCTCAGATGTCTGTTCCTGCACAGCCTGTGTCGAGGGGCAGACCCAGCAGGGCACCTGTGCAGAGACCTGGCCCACAGCACAGCCGCTCCCCTTCCCATCCCCTCCTCATCCAGGGAGACCAGAGGCTTGTCCCTCGTTGTCCCTAGAGCTTTCTGTACTCAGTAGTTAGAGCCATCATAGTACATCTGAGATGTCTGATGTAGGGCGCAGATGGGGGAGTATTAGAATGAGTTATGATTACATCCCCCTTTACCTTATTACAGAGTCAAGATCTGCCTAGACTTTGGTGAGCAAAATTAAAAACAATTTCATTTCTTTTATCAAACAGACTTAAAAGTAATTGACCAGGTTTACCGAATATGCAATCCTGAAAACACTTAACAGTTATTATTAAACAGACAAAAATACATTGGCTTTATTTTAATCATTCTTAAAAAGTGAACCTAACTTAAGAGGATTTCCTCAATGGTGTTGGACAAGTTCATCATACTCACCACCCACACTCGGCAGGGAGAACAAGGGACAGATCACATGGCCCCAGCCCTAGGACAGGGAGGCTTGCTTCAACCTCCTCTCCTTTCTCCAAGCCATCTGTGCAGACACGCTGACCCTCTTCTAGGAAGAGAATTATTGATAATCTGAGCTATGGGATTAAAATGGTGCGGAGAGTTAAAGGCAGACAGTTGGCAGCACGGTATATTGTAGGAAACACATGTGGGCTAGAGTAACTTGGATCGGATCATGAGTCAAGGAAAATAGCCAGGCTTACACGCGATAAAGAACAAGATTCTAGGGGCACCTGGGTGGCTCAGGCGTTAAGCGTCTGCCCTCAGCTCGGGTCATGATCCCGGGGTCCTGGGATTGAGCCCCGCGTCGGGCTCCCTGCTCTGCGGGAAGCCTGTTCTCCCTCTCCCACTCCCCCTGCTTGTGCCCCCTCTCTCGCTGTGTCTCTCTGTCCAATAAATTTTAAAAAATAATTAAAAAAAAAAAGAACAAGATTATAAATGCAGAGTAGTCCCCATACATGAAGCCTGTCAGGAAGAAAGGTGGAGTTCCAAGCACACCTAGACTTTAACTCTGTTCCCTCGGATCAGGTTCACTTCCTAATAAACGGCACTTACACAAGAAATAATGAAAGCCAAGATTTAAAGCATTAGGAAGAAAACAGATACATTGGATAAAGGTAATTTCTGACCTTCTTTCAACAGAAATAGCTTAAAGCCATCTATGAAAAAAAAAAGACACAAACTAAGCCAAAAGGAAGAAGAACAGTGATGAGAAGCTTGAGGGCAGCAGGGAAAAGACATCTGCTGTAACAGGAAAGTTCATGGATGGCACATGCCCACAAGAGAGTAAGAAGTAACCCCCCCTTTCCTGCAGAGCATCCACTCCTTTTGTGATGCGGTGTACATACTAGAGCCTTTTGTGATGCGGTGTATATACCAGAGCGACTGGGAGGAAGTGAGGCGTGGCCACGCGGAAGCTACTGTGGGGACAGAGAGGACTCCAGCAGAGATGGGGGTCGGCCCAGGTGGGCCGGGGGCCGCGGCACAGGACAACCATCAGAAGCGGGGAAGCGGCTGCCCTGGGCTGGGGGGGCACATGCTCTCCTCATCAGCGGACCTCACCCCCTGCACACAGGGTGAGCTTCACTGCCACTCCACCCCACCCTCCCTCACAAGAGCCCCCTGGTGCTGGTGCATGTCTGAGGTCAGATGCTAGACTTTTCCCAGTAACAACTGTCCCTGCCCTGAGCTCTCTTCAGCTCACCTAACACAGGACCCTGGCAGGCTGCTCAGGAGCCCCGTGGGCAGGGGCCCTGTGGGATGGTCTGCGTGATGTTACCTGGCAGGCTGCACAGCCTGGACTCAACCCTCCTGAAGAAACTCTCGCTCTTCTTCTTTAGGTCAACCCGTGTCACACAACGATAATGATGTCCTTCAACCAAACTGAAGATCCAAAGCTGGAAAAGCCAACAAGGCACAGACCGCAAGTCTGCCATCACAGGGCACAGGTGAACACGTGGTACAAGCCCAAGGAGAAGGCTGGGTGCGGTGCCCGAGACAAGCCCTGCACAGCCTGAGAGTCTGCTCGGACCCTTCCTCTGCAGGTCTGACCTCTCCCTTCCCCTTCCCCGCACTACATCGATTCAGACCACTGACACCAGGTGCAGACACGCCCTCTGGCTTATAAACCACTGCCCAAGAGGGCATGTGCTCTGATCCCCACTGGTCCAGGCCAGTCTCTCTGAACCCAACACCACGAACCCACAGCTGCAAATACATCGGGCACATCACTGGGCAAAAACACACAGTAATAGCAGCCACCTTTGTCAAAAAGAAAAATAAAATTTCTTCCAAAAATACATCTGTGATATTGTGATTTATAACAATAAATACATGTCTTTGGACTTCCTCCCTGTTTCCAGCACAGACCTCTTAAAACCCTAGGTACTTCCTAAGAGTGACAAAGGTGTCTTTTGTTGTGTTAATGAGGTGACTTTTGGAAAGCCCCTAAGGGTGCGGGCAGGTTGCCAGGGGAACCAATCACGTGATTAGAGGCTCTGAACTTTCTGTCCCACCCCCTGACCTCCAGGGAGGGGTGGGGGCTGGAGGTTGGGTTCAATCACCAATGGCCTATGGTTTCATTAATCATACCTACATACTAAGGCCTCCAACCAGCTCCCAGGTTGGTGAACACGTCCACCCTCCACACCGGGAGGGCGACCCTCCCTAACCTCGCCATATGTGCCTCTCCATCCGGTGCTCGTCTGTGTCCTTTATCACGTCCTTTAACAGACTGGTCAACTGGGGGCACCTGGGTGGCTCAGTGGGTGAAGCGTCCCACTCTTGGTTTCGGCTCAGGTCGTGATCTCAGGGTCTTGAGGCCAAGCCCCACAGTGGGCTCCCAGCTCAGCCCGTTCGTGGGAGTCTGCTTGGGATTCTCTCTCCCTCTGCCTCTGCCCCTCCCGCTCGTGCTCGCTCTCTCGTTCTCTCAAATAAATAAATAGATCTTCATAAAAACAGACTGGTAAACTGGTAAATAAGCATTTCCCTGAAGTCTGCAGGTCGCTCTAGCAAATCCGTCGAACCTGAACAGGGGGTGTGGGCCCCTCCGGTCTGCAGTTGGGTTGCACAGAGCCTGGGGGACCCGCAGACCCACTGCTGTGGTCGGCGTGTGAAGGGGATGCCGTCTCCTGGGCCTCGGCCCCTCGCCTGTGGGGGCTCCAGGCAGACAGCGTCAGAACTGGGTGCAACCGTAGGGCACCTGGCTGGCGTGCTGCAGGCTGCCCGGTGTGGGGGGACACCGCACACGTGGGGTGACCCGAAGGGCCAGAGGCGAGGTGTTCCATGTGAAGGCAAAGGACACTCACACAGGAGCGAGAACTGCATTATTTCCTAACAGGGTGTCTTGCCCAAATTATCTCAACAGCAACTTTTTAAGAAGAGAACAGTATCCATGCTTTGTGAATACACCTGAATTGCTCACCTAAAAAAAGTAAGTTTTGAAAAAAAATCAAGTATCTTCAAATTTTTCAAACTGTATAAAGCGGGCTCTTCTGATGGCTGTGGGCGGGCGCGTGTGAGTATGAGCCCCACCCCGATGCCCAGGCCCCAAAAGGAACGGCTTGACTACTGGGGTCGACAGTTTCTTCCAATCAGAAAGAATACAAGGAAGTGCTGGAGCAGAGACCTCTCTGCAGGCGTTCACATAGTCGTGCTGGGCCTTGGACCTGGGACTGAAGTCTGTGCTTCTCTGACCTGGCCGTTTGCGCATCCCGTCACCAGCTGCCGGCTCTCTGCATCGATGAGTAGACTCAGGAGAGGGGAGGCTATAAACAGAATACACAAATATCTATCTGTAAATACTTAAACTGAAAAGTATCCGAGTTTTACTTAAAATATCTTTTTCTAGTCAAGTCTGAACTATCCTGAAATAATTTCTGCACCAGGAAATACAAACCGTAAGCGCATACACATTCTGAGAACCTGTGTGCGCGGGAAGGTAACAAAGCTGTCCCCATAAACAGCCTGGGGGCAGCTCCCCATGGAGGTGGGAGCCTGACCGGCCCAGTCTACGTGGCACCATCAAGGCCCAGCAGCTCCATCACCCACACTGTGAAAAGCACTACCACCCAATAACTATTACACTTGCAACAGAAGTAACACATTTATGGGATTAGTCTGGAAAACAGCAATTAAATGATGCCTACTGTTTAAAATGTTGCCTAGAATGTCATTTAAAAGTTATTCTGAATCTAAACTGTCAAGAATTCAGAAGGAAAGTTAAGATAAATGGATATTTAAAGACACTGCATGTCCTAAATAAACTATAAATGACATCAAAATCAAGTTAGTAATTGTTTTCTTGACAGTCAAATAATAATTCCACAAATTAATTTCAGGAAAATAATTACAAGGTAATTCCAAGAAATGTGGTTTATCCCTGAGATTGACGAATGTCTTCAAGTTGATAAAACACCCTACTCAGCACATGGACAAGTGATGTCAGGAAGAATGCTGAATCTCAGAGAAGTACGACCGTATCTGCTCCAGGTCACAAGGCGCCTGCACATTCGCAAAGCTGTATTTCTGTGTGAGTCATCCCAAGAAAGGGGCTCCCTGTGCAGAAGGATGTGCACCAGGAGCATGGGAACACTGGCCAGGAGGTGTGTGGAGACCTACGTGACCTGTTGTAGGGACTCACGGCCAGACACACAGTTTGAGCAGAGGGCACAGGCGCTGAGAGCTCAGGGTGGTACAGAACTTCCTGCCTAAGCACAGCCTCTGATCCACGAGGCAGATGTGCCGTGCAGAGGCCTGGCTCTGCACCTGTTCCTGGGGACAGCAGAGGGGGGCAACACGTTTCTTCCAGCCCACCAGTATGCTTTGCAGACTGCAAGCATATGCTTAATTGTAAGTTAAAAACTTCAAGAAATGTACCTGTTAAGTGAATCCTTAAAGGTGTAGATGGGAGGGAGACCCTCAGACCCCCTTGAATGTGACAACTCCAGCTTAAAAACATACACTGAGAGAATTTGACTCCACAAAGCCCACCAACAAAACAGACATACAAGTTTTTAAAGTTACCTGTTAACACTGATGAGTTGTAGATTAATGATCCCATATGATGATCCCAAACCTTTGGAAAGACACATGTTTCTTTAGAAGAGATATAAATTTTTTTCTGATCTACATTCCTGATATAGCTTGAACTAATACTTCTACTTGGTTACAAATTAATTCATGTGAATGGTTACCTAAAGGAGAAAATAATAAAATAGGTATATAAATAATAAAACTGTAGAAACACAATAAAAGATTTCAGACTCATATGGGGAAAAGCTAGCATTTCCAGAAGTAAGGATCTATGGGTTTGGAAGACCCAAGCCAGGGCTGCAGACATCCCCAGCACCAATCGACACTGCCCAGGGGAGGTGTGCGGCCACAGTCACTGCCGTCTACTGCCAAGGGCGAGGGCCTGTTTCCGGACACGCTCCGGCACTTTCCAAACTCAGCTCCCATCTCAAAATCCCCATGAGATGAGGGGCACCCTCACTTCCATCCAGGCTCAGCTCATCTGTCCACAGCAGCTGGAGGGGCTGGGGCTGGGCCCAAGCAAGGGAAGAAGCAGACATTTCCAGACGACCGAGGAAGTCTTCCAGTCTCTCCCCTCTCCCACCCTGCAAGAGGGTATAAACCACCCGCAACTCTTCTTCCAATTACGCTGCACAAGTCCTCACTTGGTCAATAGGATAAAAATCCTAATGCTAGCTGACTGGGAGCTGGATGGGAATGGAGCTGGCATTTTAAATTAGTTTCTTCTTGGGGCGCCTGGATGGCTCAGTCAGTTAAGCGTCTGCCTTTGGCTCAGGTCATGATCCCAGGGTCCTGGGATCGAGCCCTGCGTCAGGCTCCCTGCTCAGCGGGAAGCCTGCTTCTCCCTTTCCCTCTACCTGCCACTCTGCCTACTTGTGCATTCTATCTCTCCGTCAAATAAATAAATTAAAAAAAAAATCTTAAAATAAATAAATTAGTTTCTTCCTAAGCTCATTAATATTGGGAAATGGCTCTTCTGTTCTGGGCCCCCTGGAAACACTGTGGAGTAAATTAATGTTCTAGCTCCCCAAGGCCCTGGATTTGAGGAGGAGGGTCCCGCAGCTGACCCAAGCCCACCCGGGAATGTTGGGACATGCCCAGCTGACACCTCCAGCCAAGTTCAGGACAGAAGTGTGGTAGAAATAAAGTCACACGTATGAGGTGACCACTGACCAGAAACACCTGCTCAACTGTGTCCACATTCCTCTGAAAAGCACCGAAAGCACCCCAGTATCCACGCCCTTACCTTAAAGCTTCTGTCTTCAGACACTGAGATGATGAGATGTGTTTGCCACAAACAGAACTCAGCTGCAGTCACGGCGCCCCGGTGACCCTCCAGCTCAGCTCGTGTAGACTGGCTCTGGGAAAATTTGTGAAGGAAGATCAATACTGAATGTTCTGGTAACTCTTTATATATCCCTTCTCCAAATGTGAAACCACCTGTGTCTAAACCTAGAAGTTAAAATTCAGATGGCTGAGCTGAGAGGGGGCAGAAGCTGCCCAGGGCCTTGTGCACGGCAGTTCTAGAGACAGAGTGACCTGACGCCGGCCCTGAGCAGCGCCACACACGAGGCACTCCCATCTTCCCGTCCACACCCTGTGTGCAGCTCTGAGGCCACTCTTTGCTGCAGGACTGCCCAGAACAGCTCTGCAGGGGTGGGCAGAGCATCCTAAGATCAAACAGGACAGTGTGCTCCTACTACTAATGAGCTATCCTTCCTCCAAAACCCTTGAAACCTACTCTAGCCAGGAAGCCCCAGAAGACAGTGTCATGAGCCAGAATCACACAGCAGAGATGCGGTGACCAGTCACCCCAGCAGATGTCCCTGTGGGACTCCAGGAAACTGGGATAAGGCCTGCTCTTCAACCCTGCGGCATCCGGTCAGACAAAATAAATAGCCGCTCATACACATGCAGGAAACATATACATATCTGTATCCACACAGCAACTTAACTAAGAAGTAAGCGCTTAACCCCGGAAGACTTCCAGTAATGTAACCTGAAACCCTTGACAAGCTAGCTTATGTCTCTTATCACCAGAAGATTAAAAATAAAAGGTGGGGTCATAATGTGCACAAGAACGGGGATACTCTCCAGGTTGGATGTTAGGAAATGCACGTTTCTACTCCCTCCAATGTTTGTAATATGAAATAGTCCTTGTCTCTTAATAACATTGTATCCTGGAAAACACCTTGTTTCCTTTCAGCATTTATCGTCATGTGTTACATTAGTTTAAGTGTTCTGTATTCATTTAAAGTCTCTAAAGCAAAGTTCATCAACTGGTCACTACCTAGTGTTCTGTTGAAAGCACAACACTTCACGTACCTGCTGGCAGCCCACGCATGTCCAGCTACTTTCCCTCGGTAAATCTCACAAGCCTGCTAAGAAATGTGCGAAGAATAACAGGCCAGCCATACACAGTCTGGAACAAACAACTGCCACCTCATTTCCTGTCTGCGTAGTTGAGGCCTGACCTGACTCGGGTCCATCATCTTCTCTTTCCAGGACATCTCATCTTCCTTCTGATGCTGACAGTGCTTGGTGTCCTCCTGGCTCATGTGTTCCTTCTCCCAACATGAGGCTGGTGAGCTTTGCTACATGTGGTGGGTGCCTTCATGGAATCACTGAATCCTAGGACATTTCCCATCATCTGTGACTTCACTTACAACGTTAGCATTTTGTTATGTGTGAGCCTCAGTTGCACAATTTGGCCAAAAATTGCATGAACACAGAAATGTACACTCTGCCCCAAACTGCCTAGCACACAGTAAGCCCATCATCAATTAATCCTCAATTAAGATGTTATGCCTAACACTGTCCCTAACCCAGATTTTTCCTAAGTAGATATGGCAGAAAATTCCTCATAGGCAAATAGCTTTGTTAACGGCATTCACTTGGCAAACAGAAGCCAAGGCCAGGCCTTGTATGATCTGTCTCCAAAATAAGTCTCAAGCAGAACATGGATTCTGAGCAAACAGGAGGCCTCCCTCACACCCCCAGCCCCACTTCTGCTCTCTCATGCCTGGCTGAGCCTAACGGGCTCCCGTTTCCTAGTCAGATGCGAGATTTAGAAGTCACAGAGCCTGGAAGAGGAGACACATATACTTAAAACAACCCCAGTTAAGAGAGAAGTGAGAAAAGTACAGTTCTTGACAGAAAGCAAGCTTAGAAAAAAGAGATAAACAAAAGCACTGTGCTGGGAGGGCTTGGAGAGATCACCAAAGGAGGAGAAATCAGAGAAATAAATGTTGACCGAATACACTTGTTTAGCATCCTGATGGCCTGATTTCATGGACTGGTGTCATGATTGACATAAAACAGCACTATCTGATTCAGGCGGCTTTCTAAGTGCAAGATAAAGATATGTATTCCTTCATTGCCCAGTTAAAAGTACTGTTGATGAGAGGCAGGTGGGGCCCCACTCAACTGCTAATGGGCAGGCACTGAACCTTACCTCAGTATCCAGCATAAATATTTTCTTTCCAGCACACACAGCAACCGCACGGTCATCTGGGCTCAACCTCAAACACAGCACCTTTCCCAGGAGGGTGCCCATGACAACCCCTCGAGGAGTCAGCCCTAGACGGAGTTTCAGTGTTAGTGTCAGATTATGAACAGGAGTCAACAACCTTAGCATAACTCTGCAACAAGCCACGGGGAGGCACTGATAATGTAGCTCTCTCCTCTAAAATCACATGCAGAACAACAATGAGATTGGATGTGACTTTGGCTCCTTGAGAGTATTAAAAACATCAAGTATAAATGGTTCTTCTGGAAGTTATGTGGAACGCAGGGATCATCCATCAGAAAATGACTCAGTGTCGTCACAGATAATGGGTCTCTGGGAAGGCTGCATGTGCATACACGTGGGGGTCATACAGAATCGCCCACAGTCCCAATCCTTCCTCCTCCGTGACCAGGCCAGTGAGCTGCTCGGGCTCATGTCAGACAGGCAGAAGGCACAGGGTACCCATCTGAGCCTCTGGGGCCTCTCTACCCCTATGAGGATGTCTCCAGGCAGGCCTGCAGGTCCAAGGTGACAACACGAGCCAACCCGCACCCTCAAGCAGGGTCCCTCAACCAACCCACCACCATGCAGCAGGACTCAGCGCCATTGTGGTTGGGCCCTGTCCAGCAAGGCCGTGTCACCAGTGAGACCTCGAACTACAGAAGGGGAGATGTTGCACATATCACTGGAGTTCTATCTTGGCTAAAATCCCATGGTCTCATTGCATGAGTATTCACCAAGCACCTGTGTTACCCCAGGCATCTCCCTAGGCACCCAGGACAGATCAGTGAACAAAGAGACAAAGTCCTGCCTTTGTGGAAAGCTTACCTGGGGTACGGGGTGGGGGCATTTAGACACCAATAAACAGAATAAGTAAACAAGTTACATACAACGCTAGAAGCAAGTGAACAACATAAGAACAAGCAAAGCACAAAAAGGGACCGGGGCCCAGGGTGGTGGTCAGAAGGGCCCACAGCAATGGAGACACTTAAGTAGACCCTGAAGGACGTGGCAGAATCTACTGTGATCCTGAGATGGAGCAGCAGATGCAAAGGCCCAGGGGCAGGACTAGGCCTGGGCTGTTCCTTGAGCCTGGGGCTTTGGCTGGGGGTCCCGTAGCTTTGTCAGTCTCTCGTCTGCATGAGGCAGGAAGGCCCTGGAGGGTTTTGGGCAGAAGGGTGGCATACTCAAACTCCAATTTTCCAGGGACCCCTGGCTGTTGAGTCGAAAGCAGAGCACGGGGCAAGGTGAGCAGGAGGAGCCAATGCAATAAGCCCGCTGAGTGACCCCACGGCCTGGACTACAGGCAGCCGTGAAGACCAGTGTGAGGAGCGTCCAGAGTTTGGTTCCGTTTTGCAGGGAAAGCAGACAGGACCTGGGGTCAGTTGGATGTGGAGGTGTGGAGGGAGCCTGAAGCACAGTTCTATGGTTTCTGACCTGAGCTGCTGTGGGGAGGTGGGAGGCAGGTGGGGGAGATGCGACCAGGACAGGTAAACCTGCAGTGCTGTCAGACATCCGCGTGGAGATGTCCAGGCGCAGTTCACACGTGAGACCAGACGTGGCAGCTGTCAGAGCCTGGTGTCATCACCAAAGGAGTGTTTTTTGAGGGGAAAGAAGACAAGCCCATATCCCAGTGTGAAGAGGGGGGAGAATGACATGGAGCCAGCAAAGGAGACTGGGGACAAGTGACCAACGACAGCCCCGGGTCACAGTCCATTTCCAGTCCAAGTGTAAACACAATCATATTGGACACGAAGGTGCTATAATCCAGCACACCTGCCCACTAAGGGCACGGAAACCAAGGCCGGCGGTGCTACATCCGGCCCAGGCCCCTGCGGCTTCCCTGGAGCCTTCTGTAGTCCCACTGCGGGAGCTCTGGGGCACAGAACGCTGAGCTCTGTAGGGGCGCCAGACTCCACCTCGGGGCCAGCTTCAACCCTCCCAGGGATGGGACCACGTGTATCCAAGCCCACACGAGTCCTCAAGGTTGCAGCCCCTTCCCACAGGGAAGCCTGCTTATTTACAAAGACCTTCTTCGCAGGGAGCAGAAAACAAACATGTGGTTTACTGTACATACGTACGTGTGTGTGTACCTGTGTTCATGTGTGTGCATGTGCACACTCCGTGCATGTGTACACACGTACTGTATACATGCATGTCTGTAGTGTATGTGTGCACACTATACACACGAGTGCATATACTACACACATATGTTGCCAGATGCATATAGATGTGCGTGTGTGCTGTGCACGTGTGTGCCGTGCATGTGTACATGTGTGCTGTGCACGTGTACGTGTGTGCTGCGCACGTGTCTGCTGTGCACGTGTACGTGTGTGCTGTGCATGTGTGTGCTGTGCACATGTACGTGTGTGCTGTGCACGTGTACGTCTGGGCTTGGACATGTACATGTGTGCTGTGCATGTGTACATATGTTCTCTGCACGTGTGTTCTGTGTACGTGTGCTGCGCACGTGTACATGTGTGCTGTGCACGCATACATGTGTGGTATGCACGTGCATGTGTGTGCTGTGCACGTGAATGTGTGTGCTGTACACGTGTGCTGTGCACGTGTACGTGTGTGCTGTGCACGTGTGTGCTGTGTGTGTATGTGTGTGCTGTGCGTGTGTACATGTGTGCTGTGCATGTGTGTGCTGTGCATGTGTACATGTGTGCTGTGCATGTGTACGTGTGTGCTGTGCAAGTGTACGTGTGTTCTGTGCATGTGTGTGCTGTGCATGTATGCATGTGTGTGCTGCATGTGTGGGATGCATATGTGCATGTGTTCCATCTGTGTGTGTGTGTGCTGTCCTGACACACTGACGCTGGGCACTCAACTACAAATTAAATGAGATGAGGTGTAAACTATGCCATATGCTGCTGCCTAAGATCCCTTCACACCCGTTTTCTGGAGCAATCCTACGAATTCTCAGCGTTACCAGTTACACAAAGCTCAAACTCCTTAATGTGCTCCTCACCTCACTTCTCACCTTCATCTGATAAAACATCTAACATCACCATGCTCCCACCCTGTGGACTCCTTCTCAGCTCGGCTGACAGGTTGAGTTCTTGATACAGACGGCCCGCGCACACACCCAGCACAGTGCCACTGTCCAGCACCAGCCCTTCCACCCAGCTCCTCCTCATCCTCCAGCTCACAAGTCACCTCCCCAGAGATGACAGCACGGGAGTGCATCCTGCCCACATCCTCCGTCGACCCCTCGCCTGCCTTCTCTACTGTGCTCCTCACAACTCATAACCATGTGTGTTGAGTTGCTCATTGCTCCATTGCTTGCCTGTCTGATGCATGTTTGCCTCCCCTCACTGTCTGTAAGAAAAGAATATTTCCACTTGCCTACATGTTTCCAGAGTTCCACAAAAATCACAGGTTTCAAAATGACAAAACACATAAGATTAAAACTAATGAGCCTATCATGTCAGCTTCACACATAGCAAAGGTCAGTAGATCTGAATATAAGGTATCCTTCCCCCAAAGACCATCCAGCTTGGACATCTATCTGGTTTAAAGTTAAAGGAGTGAAAAATTCTCCCAAGCCCCCTTATGTAACCAAGTCTATTTAAGGGTGAGTTATTCCCTTTGTACATTTTCTTAAATATATTTTAACTGTTCATTTACCTTGAAGTGCTTTCTGTCTGCATTCATCTAGGGTCCACATTATAACATAATCTCGTGATGCAGAACAGATGAGAAGTGGACTCACTGCATTTCCAAATGCCACAGCAGTAATTGGCTCATGATGTCCTCTTAGGGTCAGAGGCTGAAGAGTTAACAGAAACAAAACTATCATGAACTACAGATAACATTCAAAGAATAAAAAAGCATAACAGCATAATCTCAAGCCTAAGAAATCAAATGGATTGAATTTTTTAAATATATTTATTTCACATATTCATTTATAATTCATTTATTAAAATTCCTGTTAACGTACTACTCGTTATTCTCTCAAGTGAACCATTTCACGGTTACCCAACATTAAGAATCACACTAGTAAAATGATGCAGGTCACCTCACTCTTCCACTTACTCATTAGTTATTAATTAAGCAAATATGTATTGCATCCCGCTACATGCCAGAAGAATAACGGCTGTGCTGGACACTGAAGGGTAAGGCAATGACGAGCAATCCCCAAGAGGAGGGGTGCATTCGGGTCATTGGGAGACAAGGCACATGTCAGAGGCTGCTGGTGCAAGCAAGGAACACAGTGAAGTTACAGGAGGGCTGGGCGCTGTGTATGGAGTTCTGATAGTGCTCTAGGAAACGGGGAGCCAGCAGAGAAGGTACAAGCGGAAGAATCTATGACCGAACTCATCTTCAGACTTGTAACACTGCTGCAAGTACAGAAGAGGACCACAGTGGGGACACAGAGGGGCCAAACATCCCAAAGCAAGTACAGTATAGGCCTGAATGAGGGCGGCACGGATGCAGATGGGAGGAGACAGAGAACCAAAGACTCTGTGACCAGTGGGCATTGAGAGATGGGGGAAGGGATAGAAGCAAAGATAATCAGTGTTCCAGGTTGAAAACCTAGGTGAATGGTGGCATAAGAAAGGGGGAATGGAATCAGGAAAGAACATAGCTTGTCTGGGCTGTGCTGAGTGAGGCACTTTCGAGCTGACAGTCAGCAGACAGCAGGCACTTTGACGTAAGAGCCATCACTCAAACACGAGAACGACGAGAGCTCTGTCTATGGTCATGGCGGCCAGTTCATCTGCACCAAGCTCCTGATGAGAACGACAAGAAAACAGGGAAAAAATTGCCAAGAACATACAGATACACTTTTAAGACATCAGAGAGCAATGAAAGCAGCAAAGAATTAAGAACAGAGAAGAAGGAAACAGAGAAGGGACCCAACATGGGAGGCCATTCACCCATGAAGACTCCGGTTGAATGGCAGCTTTCTGACAATTCCAGCAAAGGCAGAAGAAACCTGAGATACTTATGGGACTGGGAGCACAAAAATGGTGTAATTAAATGCATCATTTTCAGGCACAAACAGAACTATCTTATTGGGAAAAGGGCAAAGAATTCCACTGCCTGACAAAGTACTTCTAAGAATAGAGCCTTAAGGTTGAGGACTCCATGCATTTTTTTCCTTTAAAACACTACAAATGAATTTTAATAAATTTCTGCTTTAAAAAAGAGGCATACCACCTACTAAGGTGGGAGGGAAGGGCATGTTACCAAATGCCCAGGCCTAGAGTAGTGACCTGAAGGGCCAGGCCCAAGGAGGGCAGATGAATGGGCAACAGAAGAGTGCTCACAAGCCCACCTTTGAGTTCCCATAATCCCCAATTGGATTAGAGTGACCTGGGATTGCCAGTACCCTCAGCCAGCCAGCTATCAGAAGCAAGCATAAATTCTCTCTGCAAGAAGTTAAGATCATCCAGAGCCCCAAACTATTTGTGCATTTTTTCATACATAATGTCCAGCAGTCAATCATTCAAGGAGTCAAGACCATTCAGTCAAAAACCAAGAGAAATATATAACCATGGAAAACACCCACCCACAGATCATCCAGATGGCCTTGAAACCAAACCAGAACTGATCCAGATTGCAGAATTAATAGATAAGGACATTAAAACTGTCATTATAATTCTATTCCATATGTTCAAAAAGTTAAATAGGGGTATAAAAAAATCAATAATTAATAACCTTCCTAAACAGAAAGCACCAGGCCACGATGGATCCACTGCTCAATATTTAAAGAAGAGATTTTACTAATTCTCTAAAATCTCTTTCAGAAGACTGAAGAAAGAGAACAGAGGGAAACACTATTTTCAGAAGAAGTAGAGGAAACATTTCCTTACTCATTCTATAAGACCAGGATTACCCTAATATCAAAACCAGACAAAGACATCACAAGAAAAGAAAATTAAAAACCAATATCTCTCATGAACATAGATGCAAAACTGAACAAAATATTCAAAATATCAGCAAATCAAACCATACAATGTATTAAAAAAGTATACATCATGACCAAGTAGAATTTGGAGATTTATTCCAAGTATGCAAGGCTGGTTGAACATTTGAAAATCAGTTAATCCATCACATCAACAGGCTAAAGAAAAATCACATGAAAATATCAAAAAATGTTGGGGTGCCTGGGTGGCTCAGTCAGTGAAGCATCCAACTCGATTTTGGTTCGGGTCATGATCTCAGAATCATGAGATTGAGTCCTATGTCAGGCTCCGTGCTGGGCCTAGATCCTGCTTAAGATTCTCTCTCTCTCCCTCCCCCTCTGCTCCCCCCCCCACTCACATGTGCTTGCATTCTCTCTAATAAACAAACAAATAGAAATAGTAGCTGCTTCACAGTACAGTTCATTTACCAAAAAAAGGAGAAGAAAGCATTTGACAAAATCCAATAGCAATTCATGATAAAAACTATCGGTATACTAGGAATGAGGGGAACTTCCTCAACCTAATAAAGAGTATCTACAAAATACCAAGAGCTAATGTATGAAGTGGTGAGAAACTACAAGCTTTCCCACCGAGATTAGAAACAAGACGAGGACGAGAACGTCCCCTCTCACCACACCTTGTCAACATGACACTGGGAATCTTAGCTAATATAATAACACAATAAAAGGAAAAGAAGGTATAGTGACTGAGAAAATAGAAATAAAACTGTCTTTGTTCATGGGTGACATGATCATCTAAAAATTCTTTTGGATTTTAGAAAATCCAAAAGAATTGGCAAAAAACTCCTGAAACTAAGCAATTATAGCAAGGTTGCAGGATACAAAGTTAATATGCAAAATTCCACTTCTTTCCTATATACCAGCAATAAATAAGTGGATTTTGAAATTAAAAACACAAAACCATTTACATTAGCACTCAAACAAATGAAATGCTTAGGTACAAATCTAACAGAATTGTATAAGATCTCTGAGGTGCCTGGGTGGCTCAGTCGGTTAAGTGCCTGACTCAATTTTGGCTCAGATCACGGTCATGAGATCGAGCCCTGTGTTGGGCTCCATGCTGGGCATGGAGTCTGCTTAAGATCCTCTCTCTCCCTCTCCCTCTGCACCCCCCACTCACACATGCTCACTTTCTCTCTCTCTCAAAAAAAATTATATAAGATCTCTATGAGGAAAAATAAAAGTGTTGAAAGAAATAAAAGTAAATGAATGGAGAGATATCCCATGTTCATGGATAGAAAGACTCAATATTGTCAAGATGTCAGTTCTTCCCAACTTGGTCTATAGATTTAATCCAATCCCAATCAAAATCCACAAACTAATTTTAAAATGTGTACAGAGGCAAAAGACCCAGAATGGCCACACAATACTAAAGAACAACAACAAAGTTGGAAGACTGACACTACCTGCCTCCAAGACTTATTATGAAGCTACACTAATCAAGATTGTACAGTAATGGCAAAAGAAAGAACAAACAGATCAATGGGAGAGAAGACAGAGCCCAAAACAGTCAAATGAACTTTGACTAAGGAACAAAGGTGATACAATGGAGAAAACTATAAACCCCTTAAAAAATAACACGGGAGAAAACCTAGATGACTTAAGTTTGGGGATAACTTTTCAGATAAGACACCAAAGGCATGATCCATGAAAGTAAGAATTGATAGCCTGGATTTCCATTAAAATTAAAAACTTCTGTTCCATCAAAGACACCATCAAGAGAATGAGGAGACAAACCACAGATTGGGAGAAAGTATTTGCATAAGACATATCTGATAGAGGACTATTTCCAAAAATAAACAAAGAACTCTTAAAGGGCAGCAATAAGAATTTAACCAAGTTAAAAAAGGAGCCAGAGACCATCACAGACACCTCACTACAGAAGATATAAGATGACAGGTGAGCAAACTCCACATCATTGGTCATCAAGGAAATACAGATGAAGACAACAATGATACCACTGCACACCTACTAGAGTGACAAAATCTAGAACATTGACAAGTCCAAATGCCGATATGGATGTGGAGCAGCAGGAACTCTCATTCACGGCTGGTGGGAATACAAAATGGTGCAGACAGTTTGGCAGTTTCTTACAAAAATAAATATTCTTTTGGGGCGCCTGGGTGGCTCAGTTGGTTAAGCAACTGCCTTTGGCTCAGGTCATGATCCTGGAGTCCCGCGATCAAGTCCCGCATCGGGCTCCCTGCTCAGCAGGGAGTCTGCTTCTTCCTCTGACCCTCTTCCCTCTCGTGCTCTCTATCTCTCATTCTCTCTCTCAAATAAATAAATAAAATCTTTTAAAAAATAAATAAATAAATAAATATTCTTTTAACATATGATCCAGCAATCATGCTCCTCAGTATTTACCCAAAGGAGCTGAAAATGTATGTCCACTCAAAAACCTGCACATGAAAGTTTATAGCAGTTTTATTCATAATTGCCAAAACTTGGAAGCAGTAGGTAAATAGATAAACTTACTGCATCCAGACAATGGAATATTGTTCAGTGTTAAAAAGAAATGAGCCATCAAACCATGAAAAGACATAGAGGAACCTTCCAAGCATATCACTAAGTGATCCCATCTACATGTGATCCCTCCTGTGTGGGATCCCACCTACATGACCCTGTGGAAAAGGCAGAGCTATGCGGACAGTGAAAGGTCAGCTGTTGCCAGGGTTGGGGTTGGGGGAGGGGGGGTTAAGGGGGAAGAGCACAGAATTTTAGGGCAGTGAAAACTCTCGGAATGATATGGTAATAGTGGACAGCTGTCATTCTACATTTGTCTAAACCCACAGAATGCACACCAGGAGTGACCCTGAGGGACCTATGAACTCTGGGCAACGACGACGTGTCAATGCGGCCTCATCAGCTGCAACAAATGCACGACTGTGGTGCAGGGTGTTGGGTGGGGGAGGCTGTGTGTCGCAGGAGCACAGGGGGCATACAGGAAATCTCGGTACCATCCCCTCAATTTTGCTGCGAACCTAAAACTGCTTTTACAGAATTAATGAAGTTTTAGGGTGCCTGGGTGGCTCAGTCAGTGAAGCGTCTGCCTCCAGCTCAGGGTCCTGGGATGGAGCCCTGCATCGGGCTCCCTGCTCAGTGGGGAGCCTGCTTCTCCCTCTGCCTCTGCCCCTCCCCACTTGACTCATGTTGTCTCTTGCTCATTCTGCTCTCTCTCCAAATAAATAAATAAGTAATCTTTAAAAAAGAAAAATAAAAGAATAATAAAGTCTTAAAATTTTAAAAAAAGGTAAAAAGTAGCCCCTAAAAAGAAAAATGTAGCCAAAATTTCAGAGCAAGAAATATTACCAGGGATAAAGAAATGTTACTTTGTAACATTCACAGAGTCAATTCACCAACAGAACATAAAGATACCAAACATTTATGTGCTTAATAATGGAGTTTCAAAATACATGGAGCAAAACTGATGGAGGAGAAATAGGCAAATTCACATGCAGAGTCACAGATTCCAATATGCATCTCTCAATAACTGACAGAACATGGGGCCATGAATGGAAGATGTGAAGAACACTATCAAGCAATGTGACCTGACTGACATTTATGAAACAAAGATATGCAAATACTCATAGCATTTTATCTACAGTAGTCAAAAGTGAAAATAACCTGAATGTTCACCAACAGGAAAATGGATACACAAATTATAGTACATTCACACAATGGGATACTACTCAGTATTGAAAAAGAATATACTATTGATGCATGAACAATGCAGATAACTTCTAAAATAAGTATTCTGAGTGAAAGAAGCCAGACAGACACAAAGAGTAAGCACTGTCTGATTCCTTTGGCATCAAACTCCAGAAAATGCAAACTAATGAAAGCTCTTATTTAGAATACGTAAAGAACTCCTTCACATCCATAGGAAAGAGACAGATAATCTGTCAGAAAAAAAAACAGCACAAGATTGAACACATATCACAAAAGAGAAGGTCCAAATGGCCAATAAACTTGTGAACAGGGGTTAAAACCTCACTAATCAGCAGAGAATTGCACATCACAAACAAGCACCCCTGCACACACCAGAAGGCCTCAGACTAAAAGAACCAAGTACAGGTGAGGATGCGGATCAAGTGGGACTCTTACACAGCCTTTGAAGAAGTACAGATCACTACAACCACTTTGGAAATCTTCTCGGCATTATCTACCAACCTGAATATATACATTCCCTATGACTCAGCAGTTGTACACACACGTGTACCAAAAAACAGACAAAGGAATGCCTATAGCAGTCAAAATATGGAAACAAAACAAATCTCCACCAAGAATAGAGAGGGTTAAGTGTGGTCTGCCCATGCAACGGGACATTGTGCAGGGATGAAAATGAACCATGTGGATGAACCCCACAGACATCATGGTGAGTCAAAGAAACCGTCATCAGACACAACCCCACTCAGACAAAGTCCAAGCGCGAGCAACGCTAGCCAACACTAGCATATGGCGCCAGGAGTTGAGGCTGTGTCAGCTTTGGGGAGGAGGGAAGGGAGGACAGGCTGAGACACAGCAGAGCCCAGAAGACAGGTACCCAGCTGTGTTCACTTCATCATAATCAAATGATGGCACTCAATGTCTGGGACACATTTTTCTAAGTATCTCACACTTCACTGAAAAAGCGAGAGAGATCAAGCTGGACATCAGAATGCAGGAGCCCATTCACCGGTGTTAAGTTGTGTTGAAGAAACATAGTAAAACCTCTCGTAACTCAATGGGGAAAAATCTAACTATAGATTTCTCTTTAACGATGATGAACAGCTCCTACTACTAGTGAAGTGAGCGCCAGTAACGTTGAAATTAAAGGAAACTTTCAGGCAAACCCAGATTGGCTCCACGTGCTGTCATCACTGGCCCTAAACTCCTGAAGCCCAAAATAAAGATAAAAATGATCCCAACACTAAAAATGCTGATAGAATTTACTTTTTTCATTTTGTACAACGAAACCTGTTTTGAAGAGCATTCAGATAATTATACTAGTCATGAAATAACTTCTGAATGAAAACTAATGATGTCTTTAAAACTGTCAGTTTGATGTAAAAGATTCTGCAATAAATGTAATAAACTTCCTTAAATGTGTTATATTTAAAATCTACAAAAATTGGACTTCTCTTGATTATGTTAACATGAACCTTTTCTGGCTTCTACTCTAATTGAAGAAGAACTTTTTTTTAATAAAGTGATTCCAGGCAGTTTATTTTCTAAAACTGTGACATTAGCACAGTGTTTGTTTCTCCTGTAGTTGGTACTGGAATCCCCAGGGTGCAGTATCACCCAAACAGCATCCGAGAAATGGGCAGGGAACTGCAAGGCTCTCTGTGTCATTTGACCTAACGAAAAACACACAGAACTTCACCATACCTGGTAAGAAGGGTCGTCCGTGCTCCACACGCAAAGTGCATTCCCGTCTAAAGGGAAAGCGCAGTACTGACCGCTACAGGCAAGCTGGACACGGCACGCAGGCCCCTTCGATGCTACCAGGCACTTTTCTGTGACCAGGTCCCCGACACCAGCATCAGTGCAGAGATTCCCTTGTGGGTCTCCCATCTCCAGTCTGAACGCACAGTGTGTGGAAAACAACTATGAGGGGCCATTTAATACCGACATACACGATCACATACAAAGTACCTCACACCCACCCACCTCGCCCTCCCCACTCCCAAGATAAGGGAGAAGACATTACTCAAAGTCCTGACGGCTCCACACGCACACATGCACACGCACACGCGCACGCACACAACTGCTCACTCAATCCACGGGCTTTCAGATTCAACAGACCTTGGTTCAAGGCCCCTCTTCCTATTCAACACGCCTTGCTCAGAGCTGCGGACTGTGGTTCCACGGCTGGCAAACGGACAGAACAGCACCTTCCAGAGGCGGTCTGTGCTGCTGGTCCGTGATGGCGAGCCCAGCACCAGCACTGAGGAGTGAATAGAAAGTTATTCCTGACATTGATTACTAGTATCAATGACTCTGAGATACAAAATCATTTTCCAAATTTTCCAAGCAAATTGGTGGTAAAGGACAGTATTAATCTAGCTCTCCTATTGCTTACCTTGGGTTTGTTCAACTGTTTCACAACATTGTGTCATTAAAATCAATTACCTCAGGTTATATAATCACTGACTGACTCCATCTTACAAAAGCATAAATGAATGAAACATTGACAAAAATAACAACTGCTTCAGACTTCTGTCCCACTTCACAGTTAATGACCTCACCCTTGTTATCTCTTTCCATACATGTAGCCCTCAAGTCATCCTGATTGTGCTCTGCCTCATGCCTCACTCCAGGCACTATACCTGAAAAGCTCATCCACAGAATTTGCTGACACAGTCATGAGCAAAGGGTTTAACTATCTGGTCACCATGCTGGTCGAGTGGACTCAGATGACCCAACCATGTTCACATGCTGGCTTCAGAGGGAAAGGGGTGGTCCAGACAGAAGGAGACCAGGTGACACTGACCAGCAGAGATGGGATGAGGTTAGAAGAGGGAGAAAAAGTCATCGTCCAGTGGGGACAGCCTGCAATTAGAGTGCTCAGCAACGGACCAAACAGAAGGGCTTCCACTTAAGCTCAGTTTCATAACTGGAGGGCTGTTGAAGGTTGCTGAACAAAGCTATTTAGGAAAATGCACATTTCAATCTGGCAGCAATGGGCAAGGTAGTCAGGATCAAGAGGGACTCGTGGAGGGCAGAGAGAGGGCCGAGTCCCCAGCTCCACGCACCGGGGCTCTGGAGAGCAGATGACTCTCAGTTCGGTCCTTTCTATCCGCCGATCTCTCTCCATGGCACAACCATGGTCTAGTCCCCAGGGACAAAGGCCTACATGAATGTCCACCCTGTCCCTTCCTGTGCCCCTCATATCAAATCTATTCCTAGCCCCGCCTTTCTTCAAGAGGACTTTGGCCCCCAACACCCAAAAGAAAGATCATGCAAATGTACAGAACAATCTAGAACCACACCCCCAACCCCTGACAGTGGTGAGGATGCCACAGACTGCCCACACCTCTCACTCCGGAAGGGTAGCCTCCCCTAGGCCCGGCAGCACTGCGACCCTCAAGACCAGCAAATCTCAACTTAAACACGGAGGCTCCCTCCGCACCCATCATGCTGGCTTGCTCCTAGCTCTGAGAATAGAACTGCTCTGTCTCACCTCGAATGCCTCTCCTGTTGAAGGTTCCTCGAGCTCTCCACTTGCTGGCCTCTCCCGCTTCAGGTCTCAGCTGAGCCACAGATACCCTCTGTGTGCCCCTACCACCTCACTGGCCTTCACACACCCTGACCCAGGTGACCCCTCCAGAGGCCGAATGTGAGGCTGGGGTCAGGGCCCTGGGCTGCAAACCAGCTGCGTGATGCCGGCTCAGACGGCACAAGAGTTTCCAGGACCGCAGACAGGGAAAGCTCGCTGGGGGCTTCCCAGCTGAGCAGGCGGCATTCCGTGTAAAGCCTCCGGGCCACCTGACAGAGGGTTGGGCCCTGCAGTACACAATACCCGGGCACTGAGCAGTCGGCCATAATCACTTTCCAGCTCAGGTGCAGTAGTCACGATTGAACAAGACAAAGGAGACCAACAAAAATATCTACCCAAGCTATTCTATTGGAAAACAATCCAGAAGAGAAGTCAGTAAGCATTCCAGTAGAAGACCTGACTAGAAACCCTTATTTTAGCATCTGTAAGGCCAAGATACCAGGCAAGCAGAGAGATGTAAGTGACAAAGTTCTCAAAATACAGTCAGGGGACTTATGCTCCATCATCTCCCACAAAACAAACGTCCTCTGTTATAACAAATAAGAGGCAATTTTTATAGACTTGAAAATTCTGCAACAATCTGGAGAAAAAATAAAAGCATTTTGAATATTTTAATACACAATCTTCTCCAATTCATAAACTTGGTTTTACTTACTATTCTTGCAACTGCCAAGACATGGCAGGGAGTTTCATATAAAAAATAGCTGAATGTTTTAAAGCTACCATGATTTGCTTTGTAGGTTTTACCATTTTAAAGGAACCAGTGCCTAGCACCGTGGCCGGCATGTAGTTGGTGATGAGGGGAGTGTCCCAGATGGACACAATGAAATTACTGTGTGGCCCCTCCAAGTACTTCCCTGAAACATAAAATATTGTAAGAAACATGAAAGAATATATCAAAAACTATAATTGTTTAAAAAATTTTAAGAATCTACCCATTGAATAGATAAGGAAGATGTGGTATATATATAAATGGAATATGACTCAGCCATCAAAAACAATGAAATCTTGCCATTTGCAACAATGTGGATGGAACTGGAGGGTATTATGCTGAGTGAAATAAGTCAGTCAGAGAAAGACTGATATATGATTTCACTGATATGTGAAAAAAACACATTAAGAAAGAAAAAGAGACACCCCCCCAAAACAAAACACTCTTAAATACGAGAAGAAACTGGTGGCTGTGGGGGAGGTGGCTGGGGTGGGGGAACAGACGAAGAGGCTCAAGGGCACCCCGGTCCTGATGGGCACTGACTGATGTATAGAGGTGTTGGGTCACCACGTTGTACCCTTGAAACTAATATAACACTGTATGTTAGTTACACTTGAATAAAAAATATTTTTAAAAGAAAAAAGCACTACTTTGAGTAAAATTCTTACATTTTCATGAGAACTAAAAGACATATAAAAATTTAAAAAAATAAAAAAAGAATCCACCCATCAAACTGTGATTAAATTTTGTATTATTCCTTCAACATAAACATTTATGCACCAAGAACTGTCTTAATCTCTTCTCTAATTCCTATAACATTCAGCACCATGATTTGCAAAGAATAGAATCTGTACACCAATTTACAATTTAAAAATCATTTTCATACATATTAACATGCAGATTTGGGTATATCAATAAATACATTATATCATTTAATACTTACAACAACTCTTTAAAGTTGTCTGTCAAATGTTTGTTCCATTTTACAGGTGGAAACATCGGAGGTGTCAGTAAGTGGTGAAACTCCCCATTTTTGACTCCTCATTTCTGGCACCTCTGCCACCGCATACCCAGAGCGGGGCCACAGGTGACTTCACAGCTCCACCCACCTAAGAAAGCAGCAGCAGTGCAGGGAACCTGTGTGGGGCCAGGGGCTTCACAATCAAACAGCTTTGCATGAGCCGCCTGCTCAGCCACTCACTGCTGCTCGAAATGGCTTGGCAAGTGCTGCTGACCGCGCCCGGAGCTGCCCGCAGACAGAGGACATCTAACCCCCTGCAGGAAACGTGTGCTGTCCTGTTGGCCGTTACCTGGACACAGGTAAGTTACCCTTAGAGCTTTCAGCTGCCGGCCATCCCAAATGACTTCCACCCACAGGCTGCTGGAAATCCCTGCCGACACAGGAATCCCTGGACAGAACTGAAGCATAACTGGGGTAGAGGAGGAAGGAATATGACCTTCAGCTATGTGAAACACATTGTTCTAATTGATCAGGGACAACTAGATAACCATTTGGGAAATAATACCAAAAACAATTAAATTTCAGATGCCTTACAGGTTACAAAGTACTATTAACAATTTAAAAACAAAAACCAGAGAAAAATCTGCAAAAATAGCGGAAAAAACTAACATCCTTAATATTTAGAGATCTACAATAAATATATGAGAGAAAGCTTAAAACCTCAATAGAAAAAAAACACAAACTACGGAGGAGCAATAAAAATCCACAATAAACTTCATCCTCAACAGGGAAAAACTAAGAGCCTTTCTCCCAAGGTCAGGAATATGACAGGAGTGTCCACTCTCACTGGTTTTATCCAACACAGGACTGGAAGCATAGCCAAAGAAATCAGACAAGAGGAAGGAATAAAAGGCATCCAAACTGCTAAGGAAGAGGTGAAACTCTCACTCTTTGCAGACGACATAATACAATATATAGAAAGCCCTAAAGACTCCACCAAAAAACTGCTAGAAATGACAAATGAATTCACTAAGGTTGCAAGATACAAAATCAATATACAGAAATCCATTGCATTCCTATCTACTAACAATGAAGCAGCAGAAAGAGAAATTAAGAAAACAATCCCATTTATAACTGCATCAAAAACGATAAAATATCTAGGAATAAACCTAACCAAAGAGGTAAAAGATCTGTACTCTAAAAACTATAAAACACTTATGAAAGAAACTGAAGATGACACAAAGAAATGGAAAACATTCCATGCTCATAGACTAGAAAAACAAATATTGTTAAAATGTCTATACTACCCAAACCAATTCACACATTTAATGTAATCCCTATCAAAATACCAACAGCATTTTTCACAGGGCTAGAACAAACAGTCCTAAAATTTGTATGGAACCACAAAAGACCCCAAAGAGCCAAAGCAAACTTGAAAAACAAAACTGGAGGCATCACAATTCAGGACTTTGAGCTCTGTTACAAAGCTGTCATCATCAAGACAGTATGGTACTGGCACAAGAACAGACACATAGATCAATGGAACAGAATAGAGAGGCCAGAAATAGACCCTCAACTCTATGGTCAACTAATCTTTGACAAAGCAGGACAGAGTATCCAAT